TTGGCCTCACCCCAACACAGCAGGTACAGGGCTACTTGGCGGACTCGGTCATGCTGCGACATGCGGTTCATACGGGTCTTCCACCGATACTCGGCGGCTTCGAGACTGTTGTCGCCCTCTAGTGCTTCAAGGGTCTCATCCACATTCTCCGGGTTCTCTTTCGCCTTCTTCTGGGCCGCTTTGCGGGCTTTTCTGGTCTTTCGATCCGCCTTGCCCAACTTCATATTGGAAAAGCCCACGGCATCATCGAGGTCAAGGTGAGCTGCGAAGTACCAACGACGGTAGTTCGCATTATCACCGCCGATGTAGTCGGCGTGCAGAGAAAGGAGTGCCTGGTTTGGCGTCATACGAGAGGCACGCGAGTCCAACTGTGTCAGGAGGTGGTCGTACATGTTACGCATGCTGTCCCTTTGGAAACCGAATTTGTTGACAAGGTCAAGGAAAATGTCCTCGATTTCCTCCTTGGAAACAGGGACTTGGGCATCAGAGGACCACGCCGGGTATGGCTCCCGGGATCGCTGACCAGCGGGCAGAGCATTTCCGTAGTCCATGCCGTAGACGGGCGTTGACGCTCCAGACGACCGATTGCCTCCGTAGGAGATCTGGGAGGAGGGAGGACGGTAGCCATACCCACGTCCGCCATACTGGCTGTCAGCATAGCTGTTGTAGCGCTCGTCCCCGCGACCGTAGTAGTCCATGTCCGCCGCACGTGCTGTTTCGGATCTCATAGTAAAATCACTGAAGGTTTCCGAGTCTTCCTCCGAATCGCCGCGGCGCCGTCCCCTTTGCTGGCCATTTCCTTGGTCATAGTAAGGTTCGCCATAATAGTCGTCCTGGTGGCCGGCGTCATAGTACCCGCCGTCCTGGTGGTAATTATGTCCACCATCAGCATAGTAGCCGCTGCCATATATCAGTCACCGTTACAGGTTCGCCATGACAACAAGTAGGACTCTTAACGTACCCTCTATCATAGTAACCGTCGCCATAGTCGTTCGGATCATAGTAAGCCTGGCCATGATGCTCATCCTGGTAATAGGAATCTCCATGGGCACCATGTTGGCCATAGCCATCATCGTAATGGCCGCCTTGATTGTAGCCTGACATGCTGAAAGGCGAGTGTAACCAAGCAGTGATAGTTTCTAATACAAGCTTAGCCCCTGAGACGCAAGTAAATCCATCAATTCGGAGTGTCGTCATCCGACTCACCTTAACAGTGACCCATCCAAGTTTCAAGTTGATCGATTCTCAATATGTCTGCATCAACGGGACTCTCAGGATCGAGAGTTGTAGTAGAACGGGGATAAAAGGCGACGCGTCGTGAACGGTTTCAATGTCGACGAGTCGCTTTGAGGCACCAGTCCCCGATCGTTCAACCCTGAAATTCGACGAATCTGACAATTAATGATTAAATCGCACTTATTTTTTTTCGATAGGCTGAAGAGCCGTATGGTCGTCACTAAGGTGTTGTTGTAAACGAATGGAAGGGAAAGGAAAATCGAGCAACGATGCAAAGACGGATGAAGAACCTAGACTGCTACAAGGCCCGAACCTGTCTCAGTCTAGGACAAACCTCCCTCTTCTTTTTCTCAAACGAGAGCGAGAAAAGAAGGATAGGAGTCCAGACGAAAGTCGTGAAAAATAGACCAAGGTGAAAAGAAACGAAAAAAAAAACACAAACCAACAATCGTTCCTTGGGTGCAAATCAATAAAAGAGTGAACAGGAAACCCAAAGATGAAGTGAAGGGACAGGAAAGGAAAGGAAAGATCCCAAGCGATGGTCGAAGGGGGGAGGAGAGAGAGAATAGTGTTTGAGTTGGACGATTAGTGGTGAAAAGGGAATCGATTGTCCACCCGAAACCCAGCAGGGAATAGAAAAAATACTGGTGAGTATGGGGCCCGGTGGTTATTTTGGGATCTGGATCTGCTCAATTTACTTCGCGACAGTACCTGCCTATCCGTACCTTACCTGTATCGGGGGAAACAGTACCCACAATATACCCTCCCGGGAGGCAACCCCCCCTCCCTCCGTGTCTGGTAAGGTGATACACAATTCTGTCCGCGGGATAGAGACTACACCCAATTGAATAAAATTTCGGTGGAAAAGTGTGTACACCACATTACTTGGTATTACTGCACCCGGCGCCTGGATACCGCTCTGGTATTAGGAGACATTAATCATCAAATCGTCCATGATCTGGACACATCACCAGCCTTCCCTGATTGGAAGCTTTCTCAAGATTGCCCTCCCGCCCCCTGTAATCATTGGCCCATATATGTTGGTGGCTAAGGTTCTATCAACTAAGAAGAATTACTCGACCTGAGCTAAGGTTGAAGTTACATACATGCATATTCCATCGATTCCCTCCGCTATGTCGAATCTTAACCCATCCATCCACGTATGAACGTACAGTACCACGGTCGGTACCGGTTTGGTTACGTACCGTAGGTACGTAGAGGTAGTACTGTTTTCGGCCCACCTTCACCACCTCCACACTTCACTAGCCACAATCCATCCGGAGAGTTGTCCGTTGATACAGTACTGCAAAGTGTGTTCCAATTAGTAATCGTTACCTTTTTGCAAAACTACCCTCATACTGTTGAATCCAGCGCAGGAGCCTGATTTTTTTGGAGAGGCCAAAATTTAGTTGTTGAGTGATAAGTCATCATTGGTTACGACCGTCCGGAATCCATGGAAGCTGGCGGCGGCCCCCCTGAAACTGGATCCACCACCAGCCTCAGCGAATAGGCCCCACGCGGATAACCTACCTTACTACATTTACAATCCAATACCAGACGTACCGTATTTTTGCTTTCCATTTTTTTTTTATTTCTTTATTTTTCTATCTTCCCACTGGAAAGTATGCAGGGATGACTTTGGCTCATTCCACTTCTAACCTTGAATTGATTCTGCCACTCCGACGATGATTGTTAGTCGCAAGTGTCATGAACGCGTCGCTGTGCAGTCGGCAACCACATTGTTTATTATGATTCAGCTCTTCCGATTGTCACCATCGCATACGTACGTCGGATGGAGGTTCTCCGGTACAAAGAACTTTTATCCACGGGTCCATTTCTGTTCCTGATCCAACTACCTACTAATAACCAAAGTAGGAAAGCTGGTTCTCATTGCTCTTGGTGACCCCAGCCAGGTGTTCTGATTGGGGACTCGGAGGAATAAATTGAATCAACTCACACAACATACCTGGGAGGGGATGAACAAACCATCTACTTCGTACTCCAAATAGAAGTTCTTTTTATGGTATATGAATAATAATCACGCTATTAGCAATTATCTCATTTATCAATGCCTTCTCAAGGGTTCCTCTTCTCTATGTACTATTTGAAACCACTTTACTAGAGTAGGTTCGCGGGTCCGTGAATTAGCTGCCTATCATCTGTAAAATTACCAAAAATCCATTCTTCCATTACTACTCCGTACTTAGAATTGCCACCTACAACCCACCGTCAGATCCATGAAATACATACTAGACTATAGGACCCCTCGACTGTTTACCGTTCCTTGCCACTACAGTTGCACTGTGTAGCACATATTCAACCAATAATTGAAGTACAGAAGCATGCATTAAGACATCTGCCACATACACAAGCAAGGCATGAGCGAGACAGGCTGGGCTGGTGTTATATTTAGCAGCACAAACTATGTATATCGGCTTTATGGAACAGTTCGCCGGGGGAAGACAAGACAAAAGAACTATAGACCATATGTATTTCCTTCCAAATCAATCATTAGGTGACATGATAATTTAAAAGCTATCTCCTATATCGGAAATGGAAGCTTCCTGCTGCCTATGTATAACTTGATAGAAATATGCTGCCTACTCTTGGGGACCTATGGTGGCAATAATTCCGCTAACAGAAATCATGGCTTCTACCTTGCTGGAACATTTCCCGAGTACAGCTCCCAAGGTTTACTGAATAGATTAGCTTTCTGCTGTCTTCGGATAGCCTTGACTAACTCTAAAGACAATCTACTGGCCCGTCAAGGGTTGTATAAGAACAGATTTTGAAGGACGGAAAGAAAAAAGCGGGGGTGAGACCCATAGGTTCCTGGGTTACTGTCAAATATGTGAACAGCTTAATTGAAAGTCGATTGTTTACCATTTGTCACCGGCATGTACAATGGAATTTGGACAGACCTTGGCTCAGGCTCTTTGTAAATCCTCCAGAGTGAATGTATCCATTGACGCAGGACCCATTGGGGCTCACAATGAAGATGTCTCGAATTATCTTTCGGATAACGATGTCCTAACGCCTTTGTGTCGACCTGAGGCCTTATTCTCCGCCTAGGATATTTGATATACTTCTGCTCCGACGGTTGATGTGAATAAAACAAGTAATATATATATTCTGTACTCCATACTTCAGATTTGTTTCTGTATGATTATCTGTATGATTAATTCTTATGGCTGTTGCAAGAAGATTGTTTACCAAAGGGCTATTGGTCTTTACCCTAAACCTTACTAGCTCCTCCTGCAGCCAACAATCATCTAGGATATCGAACGCCAACTGTACAAACTATAGTAGTAGTCCAAACCATATCTTACTTACTGGCATATAGCAACATCAGACCAGTGAGAATTCAATCATACCCCACTTTTGACCTGAGAAAAGGAGCCTGTTTTTTTTTTTTTGTTTTTTTGTACTTTTTCCCTCCACTTTTGTACCCCTCTAAATTAGGTATATTTGAATAAGATAAATATAATGCACTTTGTCCCGTTCCATGGGAGTTGCACCTGTGCCCGGTTCCTTGTAGCTCAGGCGATGAAATGATTGGCCCAAAAATACTCTGTGATCCATTTGGAACCCATTGCCATTTGCCCCACCTCATTATACACTGTGTCCAATAATACGGGTATAAAGTCTACGGTATTTATGATGAATCATCCAAGCTCAGGACACAGGAGAAATCTATATATGACATGGACGGCTATCTCGGGAAGAGGTAGGGGGAAGGATATTACTACTAGTAATAGTATTCAGATAGTATAGGTATATATTTAGGTTGGGGTTGACAGGAGCATGTCAAGTGATGTTATCATCGGTAATGTGACTTCTGCCAAGTTCCTTCCCATGCAGCTGAAAGTTTCCAAAAATATCGGAACGGCGATAATCGCTGCTGAGATCTCTCTCCGTTGTGAACCCATGGAACCAAATGCGGCTATAATGATAAACACTCCCGTTTCCTTTTCCAGTGTGTCTGCGATCAACCAGTGGCTAAATTTTCTTTTACTTTCTCTTGTCCGAGCTTGTTCAACACCCCCAAAGTGGCAAAGTTAAAGAGCTTCGATCGGACTTGTGGTACGGGAACTCTTGTCAGAGGCGTCTCCCGTATATACGTGCAGAACAGACGGTACTTTTCGTACATATGCGCCCGGAGACAAGTGATAAGTGGACCTTTCATAGCCCCTGCCCTTGCAGAGTATGCCAACTATACATTGTCGCTTTTTCAAGCCTTTCCATTTTCTTCCGACTGGCGATTCTAGACTTTTTCGCTGCTAGAAGCTACTCCGACATAGGACTGGTTTGGAAAAAGTGGGTTGGTGTATGAATTGGACTACGTATACTAGTATCACCCCCCCGCCGTAGGGTTCACTATTGTTTTCTAGAAATAATTCGGGGGGAAACAAGCAAATGAGAATGGGGGTCTTACCATTACTATTCATGAACGTTTCTCTAGATTATTTACAGTATTACCTAGAAAGTACGGCTGCACCCACACTGTTCATATTATTTAGTACTCCATACTACAGTTGGTATGAACTGATTCGCCAGTCTCACTAAGAGAACCATGATCTTGACCAATCCGTAAACAGGTGGCTGCGTTGGATTTGATCTTTTTGCTTGGTTTGAATCGTAGAGGGCGGACTGGCGTAACGATTGGCCAATCGGGAGCCACCAGCCTGCGGGTGGCAAACCGGCAAGGTCCACAACGGCCTCTGCTTGATTGGCTTCCAATGGTCCAGCCCTCGGTCGAAGGTGTGGAATACCTGGAAAGGAAAAAAAGGGGGGGCTTTCAAGTTTCAGCTTTGGGGATCATCATTAGTCGGTAATTTCATAACATCCAATCGATAGAAAATAATTATTACCTCGAATCGTCGTCATTGTTATTTCTCGATGTAATGCAGTGGGTGTAAGGTTACACCCTATGCTAATTCCTGTTTTCTTGTTACCTTCGCATGACGGTGATTACTAATATAATCTATAGAACAATCTGAGCAAACATCGAGGCGTGACTTTCATATGACTTGGGCTCCGTTGGCCCGTGGGTACCATTCTTGCATTAGACCTCGGTGGATAATGCTGGTATTCAGTGGAGAGTACCGAGTAGACATGGGCGTGAGAGACGATTTCGACTCAGATAAGCTTGTTTCTCTAGCCGTAAGTGTCTATTCAAGCAAGAGGTTTCATATTGGACCCTGATCCACTGACGGAGAAGGAAAGATCGTCATAGCGACGTTCAACCGTCCAAGGGAATATGGATCTACAATCGCTGCCTGCCACTCACAATCACAGAGATGATGCTTCGCCACAATTGATGTACTGGGGCTCCTGTCTATCAAGATTCTCTTAAGATCAACATTCTCTGGAGACCCGGACACCCTTCATGCAAGCATTTTCCGGATGCAGCGACTGGATTCATCATGCTCCAACTCATCATGTTGAGGCTTCGTAGGAGCTGATGTGTACTGACGCATGTGCTACCTTCCTTAGAGGTTAAGTGGGTGACAAACAAAAAAAAAGTGACAGATATTCTACATTCAGCGATCAAACCCATGTCTACCACATGTGGTGGATACAAGATTACAGTCGCACGTCCATCGCGGTGGGCATTCTGAGCTTAATCAGACTACTAAGTCATAGCTTTCCAAAGCTTCAGCATAGGTCGGATACTCCAGATGGTCTCGATGCGAATGATAGTATGATAGTGATATGGTCAAGGTCACGACTGTGGGACAAACTCATTCCGGGTCGGTATCTTTCTTAACCTTCTCTATATATATATCATTTAGAGGCGCGTGAATGGTTAAGCTTTTCACTTAGACAGCATCGACCCCTCTGATCTGTTTCCGTTGTGGGCCAGGCTTGCGCGTTCCTGAGGCTTCTGATATCAACCCATCCCTACACAATGCGCTTGGACAAATGATAGCCGGTAGACAGGAATATCACTGAATATCACCAGTGATCATCATCTTATCATATCTTTCGAGGAAGGTCATTGTGGGTGTTTGTCTATCCCGTCCCGCTCTATGCTTCTCGTGGCCCCAGAGAAGCGGGCGGTTGAGGCATTTGTCCCTGAAGTCCCTTGACCCTGAGTGCCCACTAGTCATAACTATAGAAGAATATGCAGAGAACCCGGCCTCAGGGACGTCCTCGTGGTGACTATTTTTGTTGTTAGATGTGCAAGAGTCTCTCGCTGTTTAATCATAATCTTCCTTTCGTCTATAGATTACAGTCATTTCTTGTCCATGTGGTCCCTCGTTTACAGTCTTGCTAAGCATTAATATCTTGGTTCCAACTATCTATCCCCGTCATTCATTTATCAAACTATTCATCGTCGACCTCTGAAGCGCAAGGGGACTTCTCATTTCAACCCTGGTTTAGTGCCTGGCAATCTTGCCGATTGTTCCTATAACGCCCTATTCACGCATTCAGCATGAAGTTGTCCAGCATTGTCGCGGGCGCGTCCCTCTTCATCAGCAGTGCCATTGCTGCTGACCTAGACCCCATAATCATCAAGGGTTCGAAATTCTTCTACAAGAGCAACGACACCCAATTGTGTGTAGACCCTCTGTTGGCGATCCCGTTGTTTCACCTAATGCTAACAACCCCCCCAAGTTACATTCGCGGTGTTGCCTACCAGCGTGGGTTTTTGTTGTTGTTCTTAGTCTCATTGGTGTGACATAAGCTAACATAGTATGAAGAGGAGTACTCTGGTCCCGATTCTTCCGCCAACAGTTTCAAGGATCCTCTCGCCGACGCCGAGGCTTGTAAGCGCGATGTTCCTTACCTGGAAAAGCTGGGCACCAACACCATTCGCGTTTATGCTATTGATCCTAAGTCCGATCATAAGGAGTGTATGAGTCTTCTTAGTGACGCCGGTATCTATGTCATTGCGGATCTCTCGTCCCCGGGTGATTCTATCAATCGCAACGAACCCAAGTGGGATAACGACCTGTACAATAGATATGTGACTGTGGTTGATGATCTGTCGCAATACTCGAACGTCATTGGTTTCTTCGCTGGAAATGAGGTCTCCAACAGTGAGAATACCACGTCTGCCAGTGCCTTTGTCAAGGCTGCCGTCCGTGACACCAAGCAGTATATCAAGGCCAAGAACTATCGTCCTATGGGCGTTGGCTATGCTACTAGCGATGACTCAAACATCCGTAAAAACATGGCCAACTACTTCAACTGTAACAGCGCGGATGACAGTATCGACTTCTGGGGCTACAATGTGTACTCGTGGTGTGGAGATTCCAACTATGAGAAGTCTGGGTACGCTTCTCGTACTGAGGAGTTCAAGGACTACACTGTCCCTGTCTTCTTCGCTGAGTACGGCTGCAATGCTGTCCAGCCTCGCAAGTTCACTGAAGTCCAGGCTCTCTATGGAGACAAGATGGCCGATGTCTGGTCGGGAGGTATTGTGTATATGTACTTCCAGGAAGAGAACAACTATGGTAAGCTCAACATTGGCTGGCTCTATGACTTACTGGCTGACTTTGGTAGGCCTGGTGTCTGTTGATGGAAACAAGGTCAGCACTAAGGCGGATTTCAGCTACCTTTCGAAGGAGTTGGCTAGCGCTACCCCTTCCGGCACCAAGAAGGGCGATTATAAACCTACAAACACCGCTCTTCAGTCTTGCCCGGCCGTTGATGGCAAGTGGCTCGCAACTTCCAGCCCGCTACCTCCCTCTCCAAACCAAGACCTCTGTTCCTGCATGGAGGAAAGCTTAAGCTGCGCTCTGAAGGACAGGGTCTCCGGCGAGCAGCTCGATAAGCTCTTCGGTACTGTTTGCGGCTACGACGTCTGCGATGGGATCACCACCAATGCCACTACTGGCAAATATGGTGCTTATAGTGTGTGCACTCCTCAGCAGCAGCTGTCGTACGCCATCAACCTCTACTATCAGAACCAGAAAGCAAAGGGTAACGGTGACAAGGCTTGTGACTTCAACGGGGCTGCCACCACCCAGAGCTCGAAGAGCGGCGGCAGTGCTTGCTCTGCGCTCCTCAAGGAGGCCGGCACTTCTGGTACCGGAACCGTTACTTCTTCTCCCACCGGTACAGCTGGTTCTGGTGCTTCCGGTGGTGCTGCTGCATCTAGCTCTGGAGCTGCCGGTGGTATGATTGGTCCTTCTAACATCAACGTCGGTATCTTCCAGCTCGGCGCCTATGTGGTGACGGCTATGGTCGCCGGCGCGGGCATGATCGTCCTGTAAGGGCCGTTCGCTTCGTCTTCTCGTCTCGCTGTGGGATAGTAGCCCCGTTCCCTACCGATCACTGTATAAGCTGGGTTAGCTCTGCTATGTGTCTGTGTGATTGTGTGATACTCTTCTTGTACATCCTAGCGGTGGATCTGCCTTTTCCAATATGAACTTCCTTGCCGTATAAGTATTACCAATGCAGGTATACGGTATTTGGCATTGTCTTTTATATACTCATTTAATAGGTCAATTGGTTTCAAGGTGATTTCACGTAGGAATGACCAGTCTTACGGTCAGATAACACTGTTACGGGACTGTCTCCGATTGGCTTTCCTGTCTAGACGGCTTAGATCTATAGCGTTAATATCTTCATCTATATGCTATTCGGTGCATTCTAAATAAACAAGCACGGAGTTCTCTTCCCGGCGAGGTATGGTCTATACTCGACCCTGCTCCATTGTGCGGCATGGTAGTTCTACACAATCCAACCCCAAGCTCGAAGTGTGAATCAACCTTGTGCTGGATAGAGGAGCGTGGCACACTAGTCACACGGTACGGAATTTATATTGTGATGAGTGGCATAGTGGTCGCTTCGCCGTTGAGGCTTGACCCTGCACCATGGATGGCAGGAACGGTTCGTTGATCATACGGCTAGCTTTTTGTGGTCTCAAGTTCAGTAGCCTTGTTTCGTAGTAGAATGTCCACGAAGCGGGGTATATCAGACTAGGAGTATGAATAGCTGGTAGTATTTACTACCGTAGATGAAGTCTGTGGTGGATATATATTTTGGGTGGACATATACATCCACAAGGAATGTTCACCGTGCCCTAACACACCCCCAGGAGCAATGTTGATCTATAAGATAGCTAATCAATAATAGACTTAGGAGATGGCAACTAGATATGATACTCTGATATAGACCTAAAGTAGGCAATATATGCCTCTAGTGGATTTATATTGGCCTTCACGGTTTGTAACGGTGGTATGATTCTCAAGTTCCTATGTTCGAACTTGAACCTTTTCTCTTTTCTTTTCTTTTGGTTTTCTACCTTTGTGCCCCTTCTATTTATTACTACACAGAATTATAGAGCAAACGTGAGGTGTTCATTTTGTAATAGTCGCCTGTTTCTTAGACACGCAACCCGTGACCGATCATTGGCCGTTTCCAACCCACGGATCACCAGGAAGTGTTGCCATGCCAACGACCCCCCCAGCTGCAACTCAATATCGTCAACACTTCCACTCGAAAGGCAGCTCAAGCTCATGCAATATCTCCATCCAGCTTTACTTATATTTCCGGCACTGTCTATGACTTAACAGATCGGGCATTTGACATGTCATACTAAAGTCCGACACCCAAAGCAAACCAGCACAATTATACATCAACACTCATTATCTATATACCAACGAAACGACAATGGCTCGACTCAACCCAACGAGCCCCGTCAAACAAGGCGGTACGCGCGAGAATGCGACCAAATCGGTCCGAAAGCTGAAGTCCAACACCAACTCAGTCTTTTCGAGCAAGTTCAGAGACACGTCGCCCACACCCAAGGTGGGAGAACACTCGGGGACGTTATTCGACGAACCGGAGTTTAAACGGCCGACTGCGAGAACAACGACGACAAACGATAAGCCTGTTCATCGACAGAGGAAGCTGCAACGGAGCGGAACTGTATCCAGCGGAACGTTTAATATCTTTTCCGATAGTGATGGACTGAGTGACCGCGACGACGTCTCCTTTGCATCGACTATGCGCTCCTCGACTACCCGCTCTTCGACCGAAGGACGTCCCAGTGATCCGTTGCAGCTGGCACGTGCTAACTCGCTGCTGATGCCGCAGTCGAGGCACTCTAGGAGCCGGTCAACGAGGAAGTCCGAGCTCTATGATTACACTAAGGAGAATTACCCCGTGGAGGAGGTTGTGGAGGATTACTCCACCACCTCTTCTATCAGTCGGAATCCCTCTGATGCGTCCTCGACACGACGGTCTCCTACCAGGAGGGAGCCGCGGCAGACGGATAGTAGAAGACAAAATGACCGGCAGTTTCGGGATTATCGCCAGCCGGCAAATCGGTCCGAGGACGAGGAGAGTGATGATGGATTCAACTCTCTGGATGACTTCATTGTCAGTGATAGCGAAGAGCCTAGCCACCACGACGCAACTGTGGGCGAGTCGGAACCAGAAGAGACTAAGAGGGCACCGTCGCCGCCTAGAGTCAAAAGGAGATTGGTTCGTGGCAGAAGGCCGAACCCTGAGGAACAGATTAAGAGGGCCTTGGAGAGCTCCGCACATACAAACCTTCGCCTAGAGCCCTCTTTACCAGCTGCTGTTTCGATGCCCTCCTCTGACCCCCAGGCCAGCCCCAGAAAGCTATTCCGTAATACCTCTCACATCGATGAGAAGATGAACTGTCTGGATCTGGAGGACGAGGATGCTGGTGTTGACGATGATGAGGTCGATCACGACGCTGCTGATGAAGCTGCTGCTGATGAAGTGGACACTGATGAATATGACCCGTCCGCTCAACTCCAACAAGATTTGGATAAGTACGTCTCAACACTGCTGAATATGCGAAAGCCTAAAATATTAACTGCCAGATAGTTTTCTAGGACGATTCGAGCCCCGCTCCAAAAGCTCAGAGATCGAAACAGTGAATTTGGAAACACCGTCTGCCAGCCCCTCTAAAAGCACTCTCAAGTCACCTTCCAAAGGCAAAGCCCATATTCCACCCACACCTTATCGTGAGAGCGTAGACGCCTTCTGGTCTCAGGAAGCTACAAACAATTGGATCGATCAGCATTCACCGCGCAAATTACAGAACTTGCTGCAGGAACTCGAGGAGTCCGACAACGACGTTGACCCCGAGATCATGCCTAGAACCAAAGCAATAAAGAAGACGGCCAAGCCTCCTAGCAAGACGGCCCTGAAGAAGGCCGAAACAGAAAAGAAGAGAGCCGCCCTTGAGCGCAAGAAGTCATTTGATAACAAGAAGGCCGCTGTCGCAGAAGACTTCTTCAAGGTTTTAGATGACCACGTTACTGGTGGCCGTATCCAAGAAATAGCCGAGGAAACGGGTGGTGTTCAGATCATCTGGAGCAAGACACTCCAGACAACCGCTGGACGGGCGAACTGGAAGCGAGAGAAGCTGCGAACGGAGGGTACGCTTGGGACGGAGCCCCAGACACCTGGAGGATCTCTGTCCAAACACCATGCTAGCATCGAACTGGCTGAGCGGATTATAGATGACGAGGATCGCTTGCTGAACACGCTAGCTCACGAGTACTGCCACCTGGCCAACTTTATCATCTCCAACGTCCACAATAATCCCCATGGAGCAAGTTTTAAACAATGGGGGCTGAAGTGCAAAGAAGCCCTGAAGGACCACCCTGTTTATGGCGGACGCTTCGAAGTAACGACCAAGCACAGCTACAAGATCGACTACAAGTACGTATGGAGCTGTGTGGACTGCGGCCAGACATACGGACGTCATTCAAAGAGCATCGATACTACCAAGTCTCGATGTGGAAAATGCAGAGGTTTGCTCCAGCAGATCAAGCCAAAGCCACGGAACGTGTCACCCCGAAAGAAGCAACCCCTTGGGGATGCCGAGAAAGTGGCCGTCGATGAGGTTGCCAACGTACTAGGGGAGATCAACTTGGGTAACTAAAGTACTCGCGGCTCTTCGGATCTAGTCATTGAAGGTGTTTACGGATTTGTCTCTCATTCTACATACATTTCGGGAAGATTTGCCTGTCATTTTCAGCGTTCATTTGATGACGATATATCTATGGTGTTCTCTCTTTAGCGATGATATGCCTGTCCGCCTCTCATTTGGGATATTTGGTTTTCGTGTTTGATGTACACAACGATCCTTAAGCAATGAGCACATATGCAATTCGTACATACACAGCTATACTCTGGAGCTCATAATCGATTGATTTCGGATTTGACTATCACTAATCTATCTAACTAGTTCTATCTTATATACATGCCAGTGTCCTAGCCTCAATCCCTCTCATCCATGAAACCGTATGCAATTCCCTAACCCATCCATACCAAATCCGCCATGCAACGATGCAAATCCTATAAAATCCTCCCAAGTACAGTCAACTCAACCATCACTCCCAAACCCATGAATCAATCGTACACTCCCCAAAGAGAAATAAAGAAAGAAAGAAAGAAAAGAACCTAACAAAACAAATCCCAATCAACAACCTCCAACCCATCCACCAACCCCGAAATCAATCCCTCAGCCAACCGTTCCTCCGCCTCCAACCCCCTCAAATCCCCAGCCTTCTCAAACTCCTCCCTGGGCACATTAACAAAAACCACCAAATCCGTCTCCTGCTCCACCAACCTCACCACCAAATACCACAAGGTCACAGTGCTAGTCAGTTGTCCCTCCGAACTAGACCCTGCAACCGCACCCCCAAGCCCAAGCCCAACCCCAGACCCAGACCCAGACCCAGACCCAGAACCAGCTCTAGCCGCAGATCTCCCCTTAGGAGAAGTAACCCTCACAACACCCCGATACCCCACAATCCCAGCCGAGAATTTCCCCAAAGAAACCCGTGTTGGCGGCGTCACGATCTCCAGCTTATCACCCTCATCGCAGACGTCGTGGATATGGTAGAGTGCTGCTTTTGCGTCGGAGTCGAGCTGGTGAGTTTGTAGATGTGCGCCGATCAGAGTATCGAGAGTGGCTGTCTCATGGTCGGTAACACGTTGGTTTATTTCGGTGATTTGGGAGCTTAGGGTTGTTCGGGAGAGGAAGACTTCTTGGTGGGAGGGGATTTCGCGGACGTCACTGTTTTTTTTTTTCTTTTGTTAGTTCTTTATATAAAGGAGTTGTTGACTAGGATGGGAGTTGGGGATTGAAAATTGGACGCTTTACGAACCTTGCGTCGACCCAGTTCTGGGGGATTAGGGCTTTGATTGCTCCGCCGTAGAAGTCGTGGGGGGTGTATGTTGTCATTTTTTGATTTTTCTGGTTTTCTGGTTTATTTTTTTTTTGGTTGATATATTGGGGGATGCGGGGTAGGATCGGTTCTAATTGTTTTGCGTTGGTGGGCGTTGTTGGAAGGGATTGTAGTGGGGTGTTGGTGTTCTCAAGATGGGGGTGGTTTTGAGTCTTTATAGGTATTTTATGACAGGGTCGTGAGTCATGAAGGAGGATTGTGATGCTTTTTCAAGAGGAAAGGGAACAAGAAAGATTGATTTCTGCTTTGGGATTTAATGGAAATTGAAGCTTTTCGGGCCAATGAGGAACATGACGTCTCGTCGTTGTTGGCGGGCGGTGGGCTTATCAGGGTCTGATTGGAGGGGCGGGGTCATTTATCCATTTATCTCACACGAGGTGCCCCTCGGCGTGACTCACGGGACTGACGGTCTAGAACTAACTTATCAACATGTAAAGAAAGACCCAGCCCGCACGACAACTTTGATTGAATATAGACCCTTGCGAAAATATGTATGTCTGACGGCCCCACTACTAATATCTTAAAAAAGGTATCTAAGCTCATAGGCAGAAAGGTTAAATAAATGAGAACGTTCCTGGTTCCAGACCCATCTCGAATCACATGTCCAATAGTTCTTCGATATATCCATCCAACGCGATCATCTTGAACTTGTTCCCCCATTTCGAGCGGAACTCTTTCTTACGATAGGCGTAGCTAGTGACCTGAGAAAAGCTCACCAGTTCCACCGTCCATCCCCGCCGCAGCGCTCGCTCTACCATCTTCATGAATCCTCCGGAGAATTCGGCTTCCGCCGCATCTCCCGTAGCTAAAACGATGGTCGCTGGTTCATCCGTATCCAACAGGCTTTCTAGGATCTTCAGGTGTAGAATTTCGTCCACACCCTGTTCGACCCAGCGCTCTTCCGGCGTGTCGTTCGTTTCAGAACTACTGCCTCCGTCCTGAGCGCCCGCCCGAGGACCTTTGCGGAATTTCAGCTGACGACGAGTCGGTTGTTTCACCTTGTGCACTCGGTCGAGAATGTTCGTCTCGTAGCCGAGTTTCTCGCCGTCGTCGATCGCGGCAAAGCGGTCGGAGCCCACCAAGACCCTCTTGGCTGTTGGTCGACCACGTTCCAGGATCAACGAGAAGTTCTGGAATGAGAGTGGCAAGCGGCGGATCCGTGTTTTCACAGGGATGTTTCTGGATACTTTCATAGAATCGTGAAACCCAACCATAATCTGGACAAATGGCGATAATCAGCAGAGGTTGACATGACATGTACGGGGAAAGCTAACTTACATTAGACATATCGACAAAGACATGAATCGGGCGACATGTGAGAGGAGAGGCCGGTTTGGGCTTCCCAGACCGCCCCACTTGCGTTATAGTCTCTGCATAGTCGGGAAAGTTCTTCAACAACTTGGTTAAGAGACCGACTTTTCGATCGGCTGCCGACTTGTACGCAACGGGCTGCACACGAATGGCGCCACCGGGGAGGTTTTGGATAGCGATAGGGGCTAATGCCCCAGTGGATTCATCAAACGAGGATGGCGGGGTATCGGACGACTCACTTAAGGCCTCCGCGATGCCCACCTGAGACGGGATGAAAGGAACGACGCCCCGTTTGGAATAGGCTGGGTCAAAGATGCTCGGGTTGTCGGATTCTGCTTCCGCAGTGCTCTCCGACAAGTGGGGTTCATAGGTTGGTTGCTTGGTTTGGTTACGATGGTTTGGGGTACGATATTCAACGGTAGCCTTGTGGGACTTGGACACATCCGATGTGGGAATCGGCCGAGGAGGCGTACGCGGAAGCGTTTTATCAGGGCTATCAACGTTTATGGCCCCGTGAGAAGGGCGCTTGAGAATCTGAATCCGCTTAGGCTGCTGTGGAGGTTGTTCGATAATGCTTTCCTTGGTGGCTTGATGAAGGCCAGCTTCTGACTCGACGGGAGGCGTGGTGTTGCCAAGGAAATCCCATATGGAGGAGAAGTCACCAAGCTTTGGGGGTCCACCGCTCTCGTGCTTCAGATCGGGTGCCGAGTCATTTAGAGCTTGGGCAGCAACCGTGCCGGGAGTGGATGGAGCTTGGTAAGAGTCATTGTGGCGAGCAGGGATGGAACGGTCACCGCCGCTGTACGTCGGCGAGCGCAGTAGATTGATCACCGGAGTGAAATCCCAGTTCGAAGAAGATGTCGCCGACGATGGCATTGACAGCAATGGACTCGGATGTCAGATCTAATGGTGTGTAGAATTCCGCTCGAAGTAGGGATGTGCCTTGGTGGCAATACGCGGGGTTGGACAGACAGTAAGGGTAGAAAGCTTTCAAGTACAGAAGACCGACAACTATAAATGTGCACAATTCAAACGCAAGAGATAGGGCATTAAGATAAAGCGCATCAACATGGTGGTCATTGAGACCCGACCAGACGACGATGTTCACGCCAAACGCATTGAAAGAGAAGGCAAGTTGACAAAGGGAAGAAGAGAGTTAGTTGATTAGGTTAGGTTAGGTTAGGTTAGGCACGGAGACTCGGAGACTCGCCGCCTGCAATGACCCGCCGCGTGGCGGTGAACAACTGTCACGGTACTGCCACGACCTACCGCTTGCTGTCTTGAGCCGCTAACAACACTAATCCGCATAGGGAAGGTACGTTTTCGGCATTCGCTGAAATAGATAGTCCGGACGGAATTATATTTCCCCCAAAGGCCCCACTCAAACCACTAATCCAGCTTCGGGCTAGCCTGAATTGTAGGTCATGACGACGTCATTCGTCCCAGAATCTAGAATCGCAAGAATGACGAGGTCGATTTGTTTATTCCTGCTTTCTTCTGGAATCGCCAATTGCATGGTTGTGTCGATGGTCATTGGTGGGTTCGCTCGTCACCATGACGCGCATTCAATGATCATCGTTCCATGGACGCAGGTCTGGATTCACGGTCAGAGGCCAGACTCAACATCACTTGTGCCTCGGGTGAATTCCGTCGCGGAGCAGATCAAGGTCACCAACGTCATGGAGGTACAGATATAGAAGCAGATGAAAGATATATAAACCCTTCGATCCCTGATCTTAATCCCTTCTTCATCAATCTCAACAAGACAAAACAATCGAATCACAACTACTCTATCCATTCTACTCTTCAAACCACTTTTACACTTTTAATCAAACCCACTCGCAAATATGTCTGACGCCGGACGCAAGGACTGGAGCACCAGTACGTTGATATACATATAATGCTGCATTGGATATCTCGCTAACTCCTCCGCAGAGGCCAAGGAGGAACTCACTCCTGACTCCGCCAAGTCCACCCAGCAGAAGATGAAGGAGGGCGCCACTGATATTGGTGACCGCCTCGCCCGTGGCACCCAGCCCGACGACCAGAAGTCTGGCATGCAGGAGACCTTCGACAAGAGCCAGCGCATGCATGACAACAAGAGCCATGGCGGTACCGGCGAGTCGATGTAAGTATTTCTGCAGAGTATTCGAGCTATTGTCAAGAGACTAACCGACTTCGCAGTCTTGACAAGGCCAAGAACGCGATGGGTCTCGGTGACCATTAAGCTTGAGAGTCTGGAGGATCACCCGTGACCGTTCATCATGAATACTTATGATTTGATGATATTATCCTCATGTACTGTATTAAGCTTAGTATCCTGTGTCAATTAATGACCCTCATATGAATTAATCAGAACTTAATATTCTGAACTATTTCACGTCCCCCGTATAGAATGATCAAGCTTCGAGTCTCGTTCCTGGGTAAGCTCGTGGAGTTCCTCTAACAACTCTCGATACTTCGCCCGCGCCCCTTGGATATCTGTAGGAAGGTCATGGAACAGCTGAATCCGATGATCCAAGCTCCTGACCGCATTCATAAGCTTCTTGACGGCTACCTCCTCCGCGACCACCTCACCCAACGTAGGCCCTTTACTTTGATTCCTTTTCAAAGCAGCAACCCTATCCTGATATTCACCAACTTTAGCGGCGAGAGTTTTCGTGCCTTTCATCCACTCAGCTGTCATAGCCGGCAGATCAGCTGGAACCTCATACGCCGGATCAGACCTTAGTTCATCCAGTTGCCGGCGCAGCGCCTCCAACTCCCTCTGTAAATAATCATGTAACATATCCACCTTAGCCAGCTGGTCCTGCACGCCAAATTCCTCCTTGGTCAGTTCGAGAACAGATTGACCCAGATGCCCCGCCTCCGCGTTCAGCGCACCCAACGCCGCAGCCGATTTCGCTAGATCGTCCAGATCCTGTTCGCCCTTATCATCGAGACAATATTCCAACTCGTCGAGTATCTCCTTCTTCTGTTTGTCTTCGGTCTCTTCGCGCGCTTTGAATCCCTGCACGGCTTGTTCGCGTGCCTGGTGTAGGAGGGACGCTTCCTCATCGGCGGTGTCGTTGGCTGCCGCTAGGGCAAGCAATGTCCGTAGTGTATCTTCATTGCGTTCGAATGTGGGGACTGGGTTCGGGGCATATTGGCGACTTAGCCAGGAGTTGACATAAGCCCAATCTTTCGCCTGGATGGCTGCTTGTCGCGCTTTGGCGGGGGAAAGGAGGGGGCTATCCATTGGCGGTGAGCGATGGAATATACACAGAGAGGATCAGGTTCTGAGAGTAAACGCGATAAGAATTGGAAAGGTACTCGCTAGGGGATGGTCGCTGATCTCTTGAAGCTGGGGTTAGTGGACTGCAGTTCGTGGGACGAACAAACCAAAACAAACCACTAGTTCCTGTGCAGCGTTAATTAAATACCTTAAATCGACTCACTACGGTGACTTTTCCCTTTCCGCTTTAGGCCCGACTTGGCACCGCTTTTGAGCGGCCGGAGCGTGGGGGGAGCACGAAAGTGCGTGTCCTGAGGGATCCAAACTATAGGAGACTGTATACGAACCCTAAGTCGAATCGAATCGTCTATATTACTGCCTGCTACTACCACTTTGTTTTGAGCCCGTGTGCAGTTCTTCATATCCCCACCACGTAAGGCACCTTGGCAAGTTATTCCACTGCTACCTGTCTAATGGTTTGACAATAACGTAGTAGTTGTAGTAGTAGGTAGTATAGATATCCGAGACTAGGCCTTAAACCTGTAGTAGTATGGAGTAGTGCCTACTAGTACTAGGTAAACGTAGTGCGTTGATTCTTCCTGGGTTAATGACAACCTTAAATCCGCTTTGCCGACTGTACGTCTGGTCCTACACATGATATACAATGTAGCCCATTTCAGCAGCAACGCGTGGATATTCAGAGAGATATTGGCGAAGTAAATAACTGATAGGTTGATGAACATATCGAGTAAGGAGAGGCGCATACTGAAACTCCTGGTACGAAATGACTCCTCTGGATAATAGTAGTACCTATGTCTGTTTCTATGTGTCTAAAAAGCTTTTGTAGTAATATATAACAAGCTCACCTTTATCCAAATCATCTTGGCCAAGAGCTACCTTACTCATCTCGTCGTGAACTACTAAAGAGGTGCCTTTGGTGAACTGCAAGGTATCGATTGACTTGTCAAAATTCTGGCCTAAAGGATATACGGCAACTGACCGTAGCCATTTGACAGGGTGATAAATATCGCCTGCTTCCAAACATGTAGCTTCTGAATCCTACTGCAGCTTGACTCTGAACTTCACTCTCGTTGTCACCCCCTAACCGTCGCCCGATTGATATCCGTAGGGTGAGGTAGAGAGAATACCCTCTATAAAAGTTTAGTTCATTGCCCGCTTCACCCCCTTGTTTGTGCCTGCTTAGCGCAGCCTGGACGTTTTCCGGCGGCCGTTGCAGGTTCACTCCAAAAGGCTCGCTAGAAGAAAGCTTCAGTTGACTCATTACCACACCCTAGATGGGAAGTTATTTTACGTGGGGCTAAGCCGATCCGGCTCTGTTTAACGCAGCTTAATTTATGATAATTTTATAGTGCAGGTAGTTCATGAATCATCCGGCTGTCAAGATACCTAGTCGACTTAGCAGTAGAACATGATACGTCCCCGTCGTTCGTCTACTGTCCATAGATCTGTCGTGATATGCTGACGATGAGAAGTAGTCAAACCCTCATTTAGTACCCAACTTGAGCTTCCATGTCTCGGTGTCTTACCGTTTTATTCCCCACAATGTATATTTACTACAATCCGTTAATAATGAAATTGGCTTCGCCCTCTATCCTGTAAGACATTGAATCTAAGAAGGATTGCCTTTCACCCGAGGATTTTGCCGCTTAAACCTCTCCTTGATGAGTCGTGGTCTGGATGTTGTTAGAAGGCGCCCAAGAGACCCACTTCCAGAATGGGCTAATTAAGATACGCCCTAACTCGGCCCCGATAATATGTGAGCCCGCGGGCTCTGAATAGACCCCTCTCAAAGTGTGACTCAGTGCAGTATGTTAGTATAAGAGCCCGTAACATGTACCGCTGGAATAGACGTTTAAGGAAGCGGCTTAGAAGTCTAAGCAATTTTGAAAAAAAAGACCATCATACTTTTGCGGCATCCCAACGATTGAAGTGTTCTCTAAGGCTTATAGTTCCAGTCAGCATGTCTTATCCATCCATTGCGCAACAAGATGGCATGCCTCATAGTACTGCCAGCCGACCTGCACATTCCCTGTCTCTCAGGGCAAGTACTTCGTTGAGAAACACAAGCAATGGCCTCTGGGATATTCTTAACGATCTCTGGCATCCGGAGAGCAACCCTCACGGCTATGTCACACTCGGGGTTGCAGACAATGCACTGATGCAAGAACATCTGCTACATCGCGTGAACAGCAATTTTGATCTTCCAGAACAGCACCTTTTATTGAACGACACCATCACAGGGTCTGTTCGGCTGAAAACTGCCATCGCTCGCTTTCTCACTCGTTATCTCAGTCCATCAAAAGCGCTCAAGCCATCGCAGATCGTTGCCACCAATGGGGTTTCATCTGCAACCGAGCACTGCTCCTGGGCTTTGTGTGATCCAGGTGAAGGGATGCTGGCAGGGCGCCCATATTATCGAGGTTTCAACAGAGACGTTTGCCTGCGGCCAGGGGCTAAGCTCGTTCCAGTCGGCTTCGACGAGGTAGATCCTGTCAGTGTTTCTGCTGTGTCCAAATACGAAGAAGCCATCATAAGCTCGCGTGAGCGAGGCTGTAATATACGAGCCATTCTGCTCTGCAACCCGCACAATCCCTTGGGTCGATGCTATCCTCGGTCGTTCCTTGTGGAGCTGATGAAGCTTTGTCAAAAACATGGCGTTCATATGATCAGCGACGAGATATATGCTTTGTCAGTTTGGAGACATGGTCAAGACAGGGCAACGCCGATGGAGGGCTTTACTTCGGTGCTTTCCATCGACCATGATGGGCTGATCGACCCGAAACTTGTTCATGTGCTTTGGGGTGTTAGTAAAGTTTTTGGCGCGAATGGAGTGCGACTAGGTGTGATTATTTCCCAAGGTAACGGCGACATGCTTGAGTCGATCCGAGGGGTCGGCCAGTTTAGCTCGATTTCTGGCTTTGCGGACTATCTGACGACAACCATTCTCGAAGATGAAGAGTTCGTGGACCGATATATTAAGGAAAACTACGAGAAGCTTTCTGCAGCTTACAACTATGTTGTCACATTCCTGGATGACCACGGAATACCCTACGCAAGAGGATCGAACGCGGGGTTCTTTGTTTGGTGCGATCTATTAACAGCTTATCTGAGAATCCACCCCGGCAGTCCACCTGATGATAGCGACTCTGCAAAATGGAATAGAAGTAGGGAACTGGCAGAAAAGTTGACGCAGCACAAAGTGCACCTTGGAGTTGGCGATGACTTTGGTAGTGAGCAGCCCGGATGGTTCCGTATTACCTTTTCGCAACACCGTGTTCAGCTCGATGAGGGATTGAAACGCATTGTTAAAGCCCTTCATTCTTAAGAGTTTGGACAAGTGAGAGTCACGGCTCTGAAAAACGCCAGCTCTGCTGTTACAGATATGCCATATAACTTGCAAGCTCTCAGATTATCACATATGGATTTGCTCCCTTGATATGTCACTAATCACTCGTCGAGCTACATGACAACTACGAGATAACTGTACTGCGCTGATTTAAATTACAATGTCTTTGATCTTTATTTGTTAGCCTAAGCCATTCCATAAGTTGATTGAATCAATTATCAGGTTGACTGAAAATTGACAAAACTTTAAGTTCTGGCTATGGAGTAATAGAGCGGAGGGTTAATCGTGAACTCGTGGGCCCGGATGTTCAATATTAAATCCCTCCTTAAGCAGAAGTACGAAAGGAGACGCCCCTGTGATACCACAGTGGCTTAGTCTAGATTTTGCTGAGCATACGTAATTTACCTTCCTTGTTGCCACTACTCTTGCTCCAGCCTTTGCTGTAGTCAATGTCGGCCATGGCCAAGACGACGCTTGCGTTTATAGTGCAGTACGCAACTATTGTGTGTACTTTCTCACTCGCTAAAATATGCATCCCCAATTTGACTTTTAGCCAGTCTGCCTTTCCTTCTTCAAACTTCATCTAGAAAGCCTGTAAGCATAGCCTAATTGAATCTAAGCTTGGCATTAGCCCTCTACACTTGAGCTTCACGAACCGAGTCTTTTAGGTTGGAGCAGGGCATCTTAAATGGCATCTGATTAGGCTCTACGTAATTGACCACCTTGTAAAGCCCTGGTTTGCGTTATGCAGGAGAAATGGCTTCCACAACGGTTCTTCTATACTCCCCACCAAAAGTTTCCGTACGAAACGCGTCAACCGCGAGTCGTGTATATCCTGCCTCTCCGCCAACGACCATTCTTCTGTGGCCGGCTTGGGGATCATTGAAAGTGTGGCTATTCTTGCTGCACCTATTGCTGGAGGACTTCTGACTCACCGCTTGGTTGGTGGTGGTGTTTCTGGACTAAACCTACTAATTGGAGGGGGTGACACTTTTGATGACTTTCTTCTTGTTCTCGGACCCAAAGCCCAGTACCATGAGCATGACTTTCAGGGAAAAGCTAGTTGAGGTTGCCTCATAAAGCAACCTGCTCTTTATCCCAGCCCTGACCAGTCTTTTGTCGCGCTTTCCTGGGGCCCGCACGAAATACCCCTGGAACAATGGTGAAGTGATTGGCCCTCTCGTCGTTTTCTTATACAACCAATGCCGGGCGAGGTGATGCCGCTTCTTTCCCGCCCTGTATTTTAAAAGACCACAACGTGAATGCCAGCGCTATCTTCACAATGTGCGCCAATAGCGCTTCTAATATGCTTGAGTCTTACTTGCCCATGTATTTTCAAGTTATTCGCGAGTATTCTCCTAGTAGGAGGCGGCCATATGATGGCCCCCATCGTGATTAACGCCGCTACTGGGTCAGGAATTAGCACCCTTGGCTACTGATACATCGTTCATGCTTTTGTCTTCTACATTTGATGCCCCGCTGCGTGGGTCTTATATCACATCTTTTTCTGTACTCTGGGGCATACGGCTTCGCGAGGGGAATAGGTTTCAATGCACCAACCAGTGCCGCACAAACAGTACTTGCCCACCGACAATGTTTCCCTAGGCCGGTCGATTGTGACCGTCGCACAGCAACCTTGGTTCTGCTGTATCTGTTGCGATAGCTCGAGCCAAATTCACGAATCAACTCTCTCGACTAACCTCGCGCCAGTAGAAGTTGGGAGATGACATGTGGTATCTCGCCGGTGGACTGACATGTACGACATTAATTGGCCTCTGTCGTGCATCCATATTGCTAGTTAGAAAGTTAATCCTATGGTCGTAAATGATAAGTTATCATGATTCCACCAACGGCACAGTTCCCCGGATGATCCCAGAATTCGTGAACCGTGGTGAGGATAATAGTCTGGGAGTAAATGGGGTGAGGGCTTTTGCTGCCCGACGAGTAAGTAGATTGGCACATGATGATACAATTGTCAACCACCGAGTTAGTCAACTCTTTCAATTTACATGATACTATGATGATAACTATAGTCGAGTGGTCTACTACAGATAAATATTACCCCTCATTGACCCCACTTTGTATCGACAATCCCCAAAGCGGGACTTGAACCATGGCAAATAGTGTGTGAATTCTCGACTATCCACATATATGCCCAGCGCAACTAGTAGCCTGGAGATACTCAAAGCACCGCCCCCCATTGGAGGCCCCACTAATAAATGCGGTACACAGGCCTCAGCTGTTGTTCGGCTAAAAGATCTTGTGGCTGGCTGAGGCTGTCGATCATCGCATTTCTCCCAACCCGTTCCGATGTGTTGAGTCTTGCCTCGCCGAAAGACGGTGCGAGGAAAATTACTTAAAGACCGTCAAGTCCCTGTTGGCTTCCTCGACCATCAGAACAATCTTGAAATCATCATTTCTCATTGATACTCCACCTGCCAAAATGTTGAATGCCAATATCGGTGACATGATTGCGCTGGATCGTGGTATGGTGGTTCTGCTTTCCGCCGTGACATTATGTGGATTGTAACTTAGTAACTCCTTGCGTTGTTTAGAGAATCCAGAGCAGATTGTCCGGGTTATGGATGTGTTACCTGATGGCCAGTACGCGGTACGCGGACAATGTCTTACCCAGTATATATCTCCTTATGAGAAAAACTACTAACATGAGTGCCTGCAGGTGCTGTTTCCGGACGGTCATCAAGAGCTACTCAAGCCGGGTCCTAACGCCATTGTCGTGTCTAAAGCTTCTGGGTTCTGATTGGTTCATGTATCTGACTTTTCATTGGACGAGAATCGAACCGGGACAGTACTATTGGCCGCTTTAGTTACTACTAGTAGTATCTACTAGTAGTAGTCAAGAATCGACATCATTAGCCCGCGTCTTCTGATTGATCTGTAAGATCTACTCCGTATTACTAGTAGTTCTATTATTATAGATAAATTGGGACGTAATTGAATGCATTGCACTGTCTAGATTTCTAGATTATGGCAATCCGGATCGGTGTTCTGGTCCTTGGATATATTGAACTAGATAGTTTTATGTGGGAAAACGAGACAAATAATCTCTATGGAATTCAAACTAGAGGAGTAGAGGAGCTCGTATCGATCAAACCTAAATATTGTCTCGCCCAGGAAATCTTCTTAGTGGGCTTCTTGCTCCGTTCTAAAGCTGCGATATGTTCTGTATTTTGTATTGGGAAAGCTGTGACTAGAGCGGTCTTTGCGGACATTATTTGGAGGTGGGGCAGTTGTCCATTCTTATGTATATACTCCCTCTCCGTCAACAGATATAAAAGCCTTTGCCTGGACTTCTAACTACACACCAGAATACATACTATCCTCCATGGAGATATAGTCACTTGCTAACCATATATCGAGTCTTGCCGCAATTTGCTTCACCCATCCCAACGAAGAGGCCTTCCCAGCATCCCAAACGGTATTGGGAGCATTTCGACGTCGTGTCTCCACCGAATTTTCGTAAGCAACTATAGCCTGGTATAAATACCCTTGTGCCTCCAGTACATTACCTAGGAGAAGGAAGCTCAGCATGGCATCGAGATTTAGCTGTCGTGCCTCAGAGAAATCGAATTCATTTCCAAGGCGATATACCCGCATACATAAATGCCTTACCAAAGACTCTATCTCTGGATATCTTTGCTCCCGAAAGAGAGACCTCATAGCGGTATGCCAAAGGGTAAACGTCTCATGGCTATATTCACCTAGCTCTCTGTCTGCCTCGCCCAAATTGTACGTGATCTTCCCCCAGTCCTTCTCTTTGAAAAAGTTCAATCCAACTGGGCCGAGCCTAGAACAAAAGCTGCTGGAAAGACTTGAAATTGCCCGGTTGGCTGAGTGCTCTGAACTCAAAAGCAAGGTGGACGAATGTCAGAAATTTGTTGCCATGGGGATTCGCAGGTGGTCCACGGCATCCTTTCTTTCTCGAAGGTTCTTGATGATACCGTGTTCCTTCAGCAGGCGTTTTAGCTGGTCAATGCGGATAAACCTGTTAGAATCGCTGACAGAATAGGTTCATCGCACACTGATCACATACGTGAGCGGCGGCTCAACTCCCAATTGACGTTGTCCCCGGTGAAGGTACTGTTGGATTTTGGGGAGCACTCAGCCTTCGATCAAGTCAAGTCGTATAATTTCCCAGCGGCGATCGTTAAGAAGTTTGACAGTTGCTCGAGTTTGTGACGGTAAATCTCAAGGAGGGAAAGTCCATATTATCTTTATTATCTCTGTGGATTGTTTTCATGGTTCTGAGTTCTCATTACGAATGGTTATCAATACGAATTGTTTGTATTTATGTTGGTGGTGTGACTGGTGTTGTTGACATCCTTTGCTTGAATTTACGAGTATTTAGTAGATTCTAATCTCACTAGCCAGTAGTAGCTAGTGAGTGGCTGTATAAGTACTAGTGAGTCTTGGCATTTTATCATGAACGTCAATGCATGGCCGGTGTTTGCTGAACTTCCCGCTTCCCGTACGCCGATTGACCCTCTCCACGGAGCTCCAGATAAATCCTCCATGACCAGCTATTTCCCCCCCGTTGGGGCCAATCCCAGCCATGCTTCGACCAGGACACCTTCCCCAGCCGCTTCCCCGCTGTCGCCGCCGGCGACGCAGCGGTCCAATGTCTTGACGAACCGGCTGACAAGTGTACTCTCCGCATCGTATGCGGATTCGGACATACGCGATGCGCTCGAGACTCTCAGCCTGCGAGACATACATAACACACCGGAAGTACGACGACAATTGCGACTGGACGTGCAGAAGGAAGTAGTTGATTGTAACGCGGAGATCGTACGAGACTTTGGGAAAGTTGCGGAGGTAATCTAACAATGAGGGGAGGGGAAATGTGAACAGACGTGACCGATGCTAATTTTGTATGGATGGAAACAGCAATTGAAGCGAATCGGTTCCGTGATTACCAGCTTGAACCAGACATGCGACGAAATGCGAAAGCACATTAGCCTGGCTAGACAAGATACTGCCCCAGTCCTGGAGGAGGCTTCGTCGTTGATGAGCCAGAGGCGAGAGGCCGAAACAAAACAACAGCTGCTCGATGCCTTTACAAAACATTTCGTCGTTTCCGATGATGATATTCTGGTCTTGACGTCGCTGGAGGACCCCATCAATGACCAATTTTTCGACGTGCTCGCCCGTGTGAAGCAGGTGCACCGCGATTGCGAAGCTCTGCTGGGCGGAGAGAATCAGCGCCTGGGCCTGGAGCTGATGGACAAGAGCTCCAGAAATCTCAACTCCGCGTACCAGAAGCTCTACAGGTGGATCCAGAAGGAGTTCAAATCACTGAACCTGGAAGATCCCCGGATCAGTAGCTCGATCCGACGCGCGCTGCGGGTGCTGGCGGAACGACCGAGCCTTTTCCACAGCTGTCTGGATTTCTTCGCCGAGGCGCGTGATTATACCCTTTCCGATGCCTTCCACTATGCTCTTACGGATGCGGTTTCCGGCACGGCAGGTGATAGCAATGTGAAGCCAATTGAGTTTTCTGCTCATGACCCCCTGAGGTATATTGGAGACATGCTGGCCTGGGTGCATTCGACCACCGTATCCGAGCGGGAGGCCCTCGAAGCCCTGTTTGTGGCTGATGGTGAGGAGCTTGCAAGGGGAATCCAGGCCGGACTCAGCAGCGAGCCTTGGTCTCGTATTGATGAGAATGAGGAAGTCGCGTTTGATGGACAAAAGGCTCTCAGTGACCTGGTGAACCGAGACCTGATCGGAGTTTCTCGGGCTTTACGTCAGCGAGTCGAGTTAGTGATCCAAGGTCATGATGACCCCGTTACTTGCTACAAAGTCGTTGGTCTACTGTCGTTCTACCGGACGACTTTTCAGAAATTACTGGGACCGAATTCCAATCTGGCAGAATTATTGGGCACCCTGGAAAAGTTTACTTTCGGCCACTTTGAGGCTCTTATGAAGGAAGTGGTTAGCAGCCTGTCGACAGACCACGTAGCTCTGACTCCTTCGGAGGATCTATCCACACCCCAATTCCTAGTTGACGCACTCGAAGGCTTGACTTCTCTCATGAAGACCTATGAAGCTTCCTTTGGAGCAGATGATACGGAGTCCACTTCGGACGAAAACCGGTTCACCCCTGTTCTCCGCGCCGCATTTGATCCATTCTTGGAGTTGGCGACGTCGTCGGCAGAGGAGCTATCCAACGCTACCGCGCGTGCAATCTATCTGACCAACATCCATCTCACTGCACGAACGACCGTTTCGGAATCCTCTTTCGTCAGCGCAACACATCTCAACCCCATCTCCACGAAACTTTCATCTCTCCGCATTGATCTACTGGATATTCAACACCGCTACCTGCTGGACGAGTCTGGTCTCCAGGTATTGCTCACAGCACTTCAGCCTTTCTCCCAATCATCCTTAGCCAAACCAGCCGCGGAAACGGAGAAGCAACCACCTAACCTGGCTGATATCGCGACTCTCCCGGCCTTCCAACCTGAAGCTCTCATCGCGGTCAGCCAGCAACTTGATGACTTCCTCCCGTCCGCTTTGATGGACGCCACAGACAATCTGAAGCGCTTGCGCAGTGCTGCGTTCGTCAAGAGCGTGACGGAGGAAGCGGTGGAGGAGTTCTGTCGCGATTTCGAGTTCGTCGAGGGTATGATCATTGGTGCCGATGAGGCAAGTGGCAAGGTTGATGTCACTCGGGTGGACAGGGGAAGTGAGACTGGCGCCGAAAGCGAGAAGGGCATGGAGGAGGGAGAGAATGAATGGGGGTTGAGAAGACTATTCCCCCGTACTACGGGAGAGATCCGGGTCTTGCTCAGTTGATTAAACCCGCACTCGATCGCAACCGTGCCAATATACTCGAAACCCCAGTTTTTGTACATAACGTTCCTTACATATAATGTGATTCTCCTAGTCTTACCACATCAATCAGTTCTCAGACAATAAACCTACAACTAACAGTCCCCTAAACCCTCCTAACCATGATACCATAAGGATCCCGGTCACTCTCACTGACATGCACCTCACACGCCCCATCGTTCAAAACCTCCACCAACCCCTTCTCGCCTCCCTCCAATGCCTTCAGCGCCTCCGCGCGCTGAACCTCCCACTCCCCCTTAAGCACTCCCTCCAGCTTCTCCCTCATAACAGCCCTCAAATACCCCCTCTCCGTATTCGAGTGCGCAAGTGCAACAACCACCTTCCCCCGCTCAATAGCCGCCAACGCCTCATGATGGCTCATCTCCCCCGTAAACAACAAATCGGGAACATTGCCCCCCTTCATCAGCACACTGGACCCAGACCCCGGACAAACGCCCACCGTGCGAATCGAAATCTCATCCACAGACATGCCCTGTGGAATCGCAATGGGAATGCCACCGGGGAATCCGACACCCTCTGCGATTCTATCCACGAGAGATGTCAATGGCTGGGGAGAGTCGAAGGTAACGAGACGGCCCATTCCGGCGGTTTCCATGTTCTCTGGGAGAGGGGGCGGCGAGGGGTGGATGGTTGATCTGGTGTGTTTTGGAATTGAGCTTGCTTCCGCGGGGACTACGGCGTGCGGGGTTGGGTAGGATGGGGCTGAGTAGGTCTTCGAGGAGGAGGATTGGATTGGCGCATTGGTGGTGGAAGAAGGAGAGGAAGAAGGGCTGATTGAGCCGGTGACGATGTCGCAGAGCCAGTCGGCCATTCCGCCTGGTGTGGCGTCGACGGCTGTGTGCGGGGAGTAGACGCTGATGCCTTCCTGTGCGAGACGGAGGAGGGATTGTTGTTGGGGGTCGGTGAAGGTGAGGGATTTGAGGCCGCGGAAGATAATGGGGTCTTTTTGGTTGGGTTAGTGGTTTGTATCTTTCTTTCTTTCTTTCTTTTTTCTTTCTTCTATGTTATGCTGGAAGGAGGGGGAGGGCGTACGGTAGGCTACGATTGCGGAGTCTTTGCGCGCAATGGCTTCGTCTGCGACGGCTTTTGTGAGGTCTATGGCTAGCAGGACGGAGTTCTTTTGGCGTTGTGTTGCGTTGAAGGGCGCTTCGAGGAGGACTGTAGATGGTGTATTAGTTGACTGGAGCAAGGTGGGTTGGTGGGTGAGGGAGGAGGGGCTTACGGCCTGTGTTATCCCAGCTTTTGTCTGCGAGGGTTTCGGGGTAGCTGTGCGTATTGTCAGTGATTGGGTTCAAGGGGGGGTGTGTGGTATACGCTATCTGGCCTAAGTGCCAGAGGGCAATTGGGAGAGGTAGAAACGCATACAGCTTCCTCATGGAGCTCACCACGGCCTTGGTGAAGGGCGATGACGTGGGGGACAGTGTTGCGGACATTGTTGAGTAGAGGCGGACAGAGGACCGGATCAGGGGGTTCATAGAAGGCTTTTTGTGGCCTATATAATGGGGGTTAGGAGTAATTAAAAGAAGGACTTGTGTAGGTGGGGAATTGGAGCTATAGAGGAGACAATTTATATCAAATCATGCTTGATTAGATGGAGGAGTAAAAGCTGACGCCACAGCTCACCAGCCACCTGATCACATGACCATATCAAACCCCGAGTCCTTCTTTCATAGTAACACCGATGGATTTATCTATGTAATTTTCCATTACATACTGTGGGTTTGATGGCTGTTACTGGACGAATGGTATGACAATTCTATACCTGTCTTCAGCAGGTGTTATTGGTTGACCTAAGTTGATATTTGAATACTATTTTCAAGCTCACCCAAGTGTTGGGACTCAACTGTGGTAGTACTTCTGTTAGACATTCCATGGGACTGCAGGTGGGTTAGTTTTCTCATAGTTTGCCTTGATATTACCAAATCCAGAGTTAGGGAGTGATTAAACATCATGGATTGACTTTATTCCCCTCTACACTGTCCTTCACAGTTACTAAGTATAAGTTGTAACACAACAGAGTACCGAACCCGCCGAATGATCCAATAGCACTGATTGTATTATGTACATACACACATATGAAACATCCTACAAAGCAGACCGTGGTGGCTTCCCTGCCACCTCCTCAGCCATTCTGATACCTGCCGTTCGCCCTGAGAAGATACAGCCCCCTAAGAACGTTCCTTCAAGCGCACTATAACCATGCACTCCGCCACCACCAAATCCCGAGACCTCACCTGCAGCGTACAGGTTTGGGAAAGGTGATCCATCCGGGCGCAGCACCCTCCCATGCAAATCCGTCTCCAGACCCCCCAGAGTCTTACGAGTCAGGAGGTTCAGGCGTACAGCGACAAACGGACCGTGTGACGGATCGGCCAGCTTGTGCGGTTTAGCCACACGGCCAAGACGATCTGGCCAGTAGTTACGTCCATTCTGGATCAACATTATTTGAGCATCTTTCGTGAATTTGTTGTCGATTTGCATATCACGAATGTGGATCTCGCGTTCGATCTTCTCAACCTCTAGAGAAGGACCCCCTCGTTCTTTGGCAAGTTTGTTCATTCCAGCTACCAGTTTTGGTATTGTTGCCTCCACCACGAAATCTACCCCTTTATCCATGAATGCTTGAACAGGGTCAGGGACCGCGGAGCCAAGTATTCGGTGGAGCGTTCTTAGCCTGCTTTTTGCTGTCAAATCAGGGTTCTGCTCGGAGCCCGAGAGTGCGAATTCTTTGCCAATGATCGTTTTATCAAGTACAAACCATGTATAGTCATAGCCGGTGTTGCATATATGCTTCAAAGTGGCAAGGGTATCACATCCAGGGTAGAGCATTTGGGGAAGCCGCTTCCCTGTGGCATCCAACCACAGCGAGGAGGGCCCTGGGATGATTCGTATCCCATGCTGCGGCCAAATGGGATCCCAATTCTGTAAACCTTCGGTGTAGTGCCACATGCGATCTTCATTGATTACATTGGCCCCAGCAATTTTTGCAATCTCAATCATGCGCCCGTCCACATGTGCAGGGACACCAATAACGAAGTTCGACGGTGGAGTGCCGAGTCGATCAACAGGCCAGTTCTTCTTAACCAAATCTACATTGCCACCGATACCTCCACTTGCAACAAGCACTGCACTGCCGTACATTTCGAATGTGTCGATGCTCTTTCGGTTGCTTGCTACACCACGTGCTGTGTCAGATGGCTCGAGCACTTGACCACGTACACCGATGACAGCACCAGTAAACTCATCAACAATCAAAGAGTCCACTTGGTGACGAAACATGAACTCCACAAGCCCTTTCTTCGCAGCAGCACGAACCGGCTTTTCAAAAGCCTCCACAATCGCAGGACCAGTGCCCCAGGAAATATGAAATCTCGGGACCTAGGAAACGTGTGAGCTGGAATTATTGTCTCCTCATTACGCCTCCTTCACAGCGCATATCTCGCACGGGGAAATGAACTGACAGAATTGCCATGTCCTCCTGCACTCCCATCTCCACGCTCCGCCCAACCAACGCTAGCAAAGCTCACCCCCAACGACTTGACATAACCCTCGATATGATCAGTCGCAAAGTCCACAAATGCCTCCGCCCATTTCCTGGGCCAGAGGTCACATTCACGATCAAACCGTGCGCTGTTGAACCAATCCTCCATTGCCAGCTCTCGACTATCTTGGATACCCAGCCGACGCTGGTCCGCCGAGTTCACGCAGAATAAACCTCCCAGAGACCAAAACGCTTGTCCACCTAGATTAGCTTCATTCTCTTGGTCTATGATGATAACGTGGACCTTGCGTTTGGATAGTTCGAAAGCGGCGACCAGACCAGCTAGTCCACCACCGACGATGATGACGGGAGAGTCTTTTTGAGCCATTCTTAACTGTCGAAATTTGTAAATTTTCTTAGGTATGGTAGCCTGTATCTGAAAGTATGGGGTAAAATGTGGAGTTGTTTGGTGCTGGGGCAGGGAGGTAGTACATATGTATTGAATGAGATCACGCGACTGAGGAGCCCTCGGAAGATGAATTCGGTCAATTCACCTCGGCGAATTTAATCCTCGCTAGCACAGGGTTGTACGCTGATATACTTATAGTTGGATATGCATAGTACGGTGATAATAGTCTACTAATTGAGAAATGTAACACAAGGGAATTCATCGTGGTTGATGATGATTCATATTAATTTTCATTCCACGTATCTAAAAAATCGAAGATTGAGTTCTCATCTATTAAAGCATCGATAAAGCCAACAGACATAGATGATCCAGCACCGATCATCTGATTACATTGCCCATTAGTTGTTTCAACAGTGACAGTATCCGAGTGAGGACCAGCCGGATCACCTGTGGAGGCAACAGGCGGATGGGATGGGGGCGAGTTCGGGGCGTATGCTGGAGCTATTTGTTGTAGAGCCTTCATGAAAATCCCACGAAATAAAGACGCAACTGTATACGTTTTCTGCAATTCTTCCAGTACGCCCATACACATATCAAGTTTATTGAAGCTGAAACGTTTCGAAAGTGGATTGGCATAGCTACAATTAAGAAGGTGGGTTTGCATGACTGGGACTAAGAGGGCCGGTCTATCTTACGTTAGATGAAACTCCTATGGAAAGAAACAAGCAAAGAGAATGGTCTTTTGAACTTACGTCATTGGCCCTACATATTCGAGCAGATTCTCCCGAACAAGGATGTCAAGGATCTCGGTTGATTTTGATGCCGCGGTGTCAGCTTTGGACTGTAGGCGTCGCTGCTCAGACCCTTGTTGATCCAGAGCAAGATTATCAAGATGTTCGCTTGCGGAGGGACGGTAGAGTGTAATCAGAAGCGCCCTGTTGCGATGGTATTAGTGCTGCCAATGCCAAGGGGGGAGAGGTAGTCTAACTGATAATGCAGATGAACATGGTGTGCGTAAAACTTTGCCAAAGGAGTCAGGTCATGTTCATCTTGGTCTGGTAATCTGCATTGTGTGATCTGTGCTTCAAGGGCATTGATCTGACTGATAGAGGACTTCGACTTCGGGGGTTGACTTTTCAGAGCCAGAACCTTACCCAAAAATTGGCTCAGTTCAATTAGAATAATCCAGAACTCTGCCAGTTTCGGAAGCTCTTGAGGAATATATGACACTGAGACGGCTTCAGGTATGCTATCAAGTTCGCTGAGTAGGTCAGCTGTTACTGACATCGGCAGGTCACAGTCATCCAAGTTGATCCTCAGTGGCCTTCCAAGAGTAAGCCCAAGCCAGCGATCCCGGAAGAAACAGGTCCACCACAGACGGCGCCACAAACGTCTCTGACGATCTGTGATAGATGAGTTATACCTCAAGGAATCTGGATCCCGATGTAAACCTAGCATCTGGCAGAGATTAATTGCAATGCCTGTCCAGTACCAAGGTTGCATGTGGTCATCTTGCTCTGAATGCCAAAATCCCAACAGCAGGGAGGCTTGCAAAAGTGTCACTTTGTTTCTCTCCCCACCGTTATCGTACATGCACTACATACATCAGCACGACAATCCTAAAGGCGAGATGAAAATAGAGATCTTGCGTACCTTTGCACGTGAGTACATCGTGGCTTTCATTTGCTTTCGAGAGGTATACCCTTCTTGCTCATAGAGACGTGGTGATATGAACTAAATATTGGACGTTAACTTAAATTTATTGAATCCTGACCCGAGGATAACCTTCTTACATTTACCGCAACAAAAAATACACTCCACAACAGTAGAACATTACAGTCACCAAGTCGCCCTTGATGTTGATAGTTCAGAATGGAGTCTACTTCGATTACCGGCATGATCGGATGCACATGATAGAAATATGCACGGAGGAGGCCCTCACAAGTGCCGGGCTCAGGTAGGGTGAAGACTCCTTTCTTTTGGAGGTAGTCCCGATCATCGTCTGTCAGGGTAGCCTGACTATTCGATGGGATTAGACAGTGTCTTGGCAAAGAGTGATCTGGTGAACAGATATCCAGAGTGGACACAGGCCCGGTCCGGTCTCCTAGTTAGACAGTAAGCATAAGAATGATATCAACGTGAGAGCCCTTGTTAGTTACCTGTGTAGAAAGGGACTTCGCCTACTCTTCGGGGTTGCCCTAAAGCAGCAGCTGCAATTTCATCACCGTTGCGCTCTTCATCTTCGATATCGTGCGCTTCACGAGCTGCGGTGGCTTCTACGTTTAAGGGCACATGCTGCTGTGGCTGAACTTGGAACGCTGGAAGCTCCACTCTACGTGCTGTGGTCTGCGAAAGCGCCTGATCGGGACTCTGAGGGTTTGCAAGGAGAACCGGCCCACCGTGTTTCTCATACCTATAATACACTATCATCAACATCTATCGACTCATGCTTCCACATGAATTCCATCTTACTTCTGTCCTCGCCTTGTTGTGATTATACATGGGGTACAGTCCTGAGTGCAGCCGATACATGGCACCCCGGTGACATTCAAGCTGCACCGCACTTTGCGTTGGCGACACGTTTGACACGCAATCGTTCTCCGACTGCGGCGGGTGGATGCAGTAGAATTCGTAGGCGGCATCATGAGCTCTAGAATAATGTCAACTTGCTTCTTTTCTGACACCGAGGTGTTAAGATAATGGGCGACATAGAACAATGACAGTGGAACAGGTCACCTCGGAGTTGATAGCCCTGATTCTTCTATCCCGAGTTCCGCTCGATGGGGAAATTCTACCGCGGTTAAACCCAACCGCCGAGGTTGTGTCTCTAATTAAATCCTTCGTAGCGATATTTGCTGCTCTTTGCTAGTCTTCACATGATTATGTCAGCGTGCGTGACATTAATTGCACAATCAAATTTTGTTGCATGGATTAGTTTCATAATGCTGCGTTCCAAGTTAACGGCACGATGGTCGGATTAGGGCTTCATAGGTCCTCCCCGCCTAAGCTAGAAGTAGCTTAATTTTCAAGGACGAGGTTTGCTAAGTAACGAATACGTAGTAGCTCATTAAGTATAAACCAATTATTTGAGTCGTAGGTTAATCTTAGCTATTAAGACTGGGTTAAATTAACTAACTAAGATGATTGGATTATGTAACATAGAACATCTTTGTGCCATTCTTCTGCTACTATATACTTTTTGCTAATCATCGGATACAACAAATCGCTGGAATATTAATTTCTAGGATGGTCGCTCTATTCTAACGTACAGCTACTATGCTCATACATTCATGAGCTATGTACAAAGGTAGATAATAACTATGAAAGCGTAAGACGCTAGCCTCTAGGATGCTGTCCGGTAGATAAAAGCTTGTCATTTTCGGTGGTCGGAAGTCCTCCCGATCCCAGCCATTTTCCTAAGTAAGCGATATCGCCTGGGAAATTTTCTAAAAATGGCGTGGGAGTCTGACAATGATATATGGCACAAGTTATCTATTCTACAGTTATATGAATAGCTCAATTATGCTCTCCCAACCGTATCTCGGAACTGCATCCGGTGATTATTTGCAGGGAAATTGTTCGGAGTGCCTCCCGTAGCGGGTGGAGATCGCTATCTGAAGAGTAGTTTAATTTGCTGATAAGGCTGCTCATCTTAACATCCTATTTGAGTAGGAGGTAGAGGTCCCACATCCCTTATCAGTGGTCTGTTGACCTGCTATGTAAGATGTACATATTAGAAACGTCAAGATGCGATAAAGATGGAGCGGTGTGTACCCGAGCAGGTATGAGAGAACGAAGTGATATGTGTGCACGATTGTTTGTATACAGATTCGGAAGGGCCCCGAATAGATGAGCCAGATGACCCTCGACCTGCTTCCACGGTATTTCTAGAGTATCTGGATATAGGAGGTGTACTTTCTGTTGCACTGCTCACATTTACCAAATCTAACATGAACTCTAGAGCGCTTGCTCCCATTTGACCTTGAACGCGCTATTTCTACCGTCGTAATTATGTGTATGGTTGCAATCGTAGCTCCATTCTTAGTCCAAAGTCCTCGTAATTATCTAGAAGGAGTATTTGGTATTCTGGCAGAGATGGTTCAGAAAGGAATCTGGTGGCCGAGGCGCACAAGAACAAGCTGGAGCACCTGGAGACGCTTTTGAGTGAATTCCAAACACCGAACTATGCATGGAGAGGCGACACAGGTATTGGGTCCCATCAATTGCCGGAGTCAGGAGAAGGTGGTAATGGAGAGGATTGATACGGGAGAGTGAAGCTGTGGGTCTGGGTATGATAGGTGGTGAGGGGTTAGGGCAAGTGGAGGCATGGGAAATGATGTATGATATCACAGCCTCGAAGCTAATGACGGTGGCAAGTACATTGGACGTGAATAGGATTCTCGACTGGGTGGGGTTTCCGGTTGATTTGCCAGCCCCCGAGTTTGTGATCAAGTGTTGGATAATCATGACTGAGGTAAAAGGTGGCCTAGATACATGCCCTAAGTTTCGTATCCCCTCATTCAGAAAACCTTCCTCAGAGCTGCCAAGGTCTCCCATGCGGGGTTTAAGTCCTGACACCAAATTTCGCGTGATAAGAAGAAGCAGTAAAGGGCTCCGGCGGAAATATCCTCCGTTCCTCTCCCCACATGTATAGTAGATCGGATGCAGCCTCTGAGATAAGATAAGATAGGATGTCCAATTAACCCAACATACGTATTAACATCTAACCCCGTAAGAAACGTGATATCAAGCCATTCTCGTCTTCCAGGACAGTTATCAAAGATCAGAAACATAGAATGTCCGTCAACAAAGTAACCCCCCGAGATTATCCCTGTCCCTCCTCCGACAGCGCGCTCGCCCAACTCTGACCTCCCAATAATCGCATTTCGAGGCGCGCTAATTGGCCGTACATTAGAAGGCGCCGTTGCCTCCGTGTACACGAGCGAATGGTCGCGAGGAGGACACTGGAAAATCTCGCGCGAAAAATTCGCCGCTACGCCGCACTGCCACGCCACCACCCACGAGGAGTACTATCGTCCTGAAGGGCGGCGGGGCGTATGACAGACAAGATGCGTGAAAAGTGCAGACAAGCACCATTGCCTGTTCATGATCCTATCTACGACAAGGAGGGCCCGTTGCTTAGAATCTGGAAGAGAGATTATTAGGTATGTACAGAGTATTGGATAATGATAAGCAGGTCCTATCCCTAATCTCTGGTATCAATTGATATGATTCCGATAACGTAGAATCCTTTCCCGTAACTTCGCCACAAAGATAAAGCCAAGCTCTTGGAGTGAGCAATTTATCTTTCCGCGGAAAAAGAATTATGAGTAGGGTATACTTTTGGTTTCCTCTCCTGTCCAAGGTTCATTCTATGGAGCGGGGTGATAAGACCGTATCAGACGGTGACGTCGTAGAGCCCGTGCGGCAACTGATCGGATGCAGCCCGAGAGGAGATACCAGTAGCTCCCCTGGCTATCTCGACGCTGAAAATCTGGGGAAAGGCCCTGCTCGTCTTTTTTGCCGCATGGAGCAAGGGTAGATGTTGGCTAGCCGCGTGACTACGCCACGTAGATCCCTTGCTCCTGAACCTCTCAGATCCCTTGTACGAGCTCTCTTATATAGTGGATCTCATCCTCCATTGGATTATTATAAGAAGATGGTGTATATAATCGTCTTTTCTCGTTCATATAACTTCTGGAGGCGGTACATTCCTGGACTTTTAGCCAAACCCCTAGGTGAATCTATGCATACAACCGCCCCGACATTGTTTGGAAATGCAAATCGTCTGCTTCTGTATTTTATAAAATTACACGGCATAAACCCATTTGATAGCCATGTTGGACTCCAAGGACTCAGGTTCTACCGAGCCTCAGGTCAAGCATGAGATCGAAAAGACACGGGATATAAGCGATGTGCTCCATCCGTCAACCAGCTTGAACGATGGCAGCATGATGGAAACACAGGACGCTCGGAATGGCCAATTCCACCGTTCCTTTTCTCCGCGCCAGGTCCATGTAAGAACAAGTGAATGTTGTATGACCATTATTCTTTTCTGGTCACTGATAAGGAACTATGTAGATCATTTCGCTCGGTTCCAACATTGGCAGTGGAGTTTTTATCGCAACCGGCCAAGCTCTCGCCTCGGGGGGTCCAGGGAATATGGTTCTTGCCTACGGAATGGTCTGCAGCGCGGTCTGGGCAGTCCTGCAGTCGCTCTCGGAGATGACCATTGCGTTCCCTGTCTCAGGCAATTACATCGATTACGCCGATCGCTGGGTTGATCCTGCCTTGGCCTTCGGAGCGGGCTTCGCTGAGTGGCTTGGTTTGTGCATTTCAGGAAAACATGACACCTCGTTATTCTGACAACCACCATAGCATGGAGCGCAATTGTCGCGTCAGAAGCCGGCTTCTTCAATGTACTGGTGCAGTACTGGGCAGGGGGATCCTTGCCCCTCGGAGCGACAGGTAAGTATACCTGGTGCGTCCAATCATGGACATGGATGATGTTTAACGTACTCCTCAGTCACCATCTTCCTTGCAGTCTGCCTGTTTGTCTTTCTACTTCCAAACAGGGCATTTGCCTGGTTCGAATACGTCACGTCTCTCATCAAAATATTCCTCTTCCTTTTGATCATCGTCCTCTCCTTGGCCCTGGTTTTGGGCGCCGGACCGAATGGCAGCATACATCATGGTGAAACTTGGACAGATCATCCCGCCTTTCTCAATGGCTTCACTGTAGGTTCGGAATGGGTGATCCTACCAAAAGAATGACCACCAAAGTTAATGAGAACAGGGGTTCGCAAACTGCGCTCTGCTGGCAACCTGGGCAGTTGGCGATCAAGTCTTCATTGGAATCATGGGTGGTGAGGCCGAAAGTCCGCGGTTTTCGATGGCGCACGCGACAAAGCTTGTACCATTCCGGGTGAACTTCATCTATATGATTAGCATTGTTTTTATCACAATTCTGGTTCCGTCGAATGATGACCGTCTGCTCAGTGGAAGTGGAGTCGCTGCGTCTCCCTTTGTCATCGCCGTTCAAGATGCGGGTATCCCGGCGGTTCCATCCATTTTAAATGCCGGAATGATATGTGGAGTTCTTGCAATCTCTGCAGAAGGCATCTATCTCTCTTCAAGAGTGTTGAGAACGATGGCGCATCAACGTCTCATTCCGGAAGTCCTCGCCAAAGTTGATTCCCGGGGCCGGCCCAGATGGGCGTTGGTGATTACCAGCGTATTCTCCGTCATCCTTTCATATATCCAACTTGCATGTAAGAGTGAATCCCTCCTAAACGGTATCTGTTAATATAGTTCTAATGATCGGGCCATCCCACAGCTGGTGGCCTCACTGTACTGAACTGGCTGATTGCTATCAGCAGCGCGTCTTTCTTTACAAACTGGGGCATTATTGCCTTCACTAATTGGCGCTTCCATTGCGCGCTCAAGGCGCAAAAAGACCAGCTGTTCACCGAGACGTATGGGTGGAAGTCCACATTCTGGCCCACAGCCCCCGCGTGGCTCATGTTGGTTTCCCTTATGTTGCTGGCCTGTTGTGTTGGATGCGGTGTTAAGCCCGTGGTAGGTCATGAATCTATTCTCTTTCTTTCCGTATCTTGTTCATTCCTGAGGCACGGAAAGACAACACTGTTGCCCAGCTGACAAGGCTTGTTGCTCATAGGATGGCCTCGCATTTACAGCGGAGAACTTTTTCCAGTACACGCTCGGGCTCTGGGTCATCGCCGGCTGCACCCTCGCCTACAAAGTGATTTTCAGAACACCGTGGAGAGACCCGAAGACCGCGGACTGCATCACTGGTAGACGAACCTTGGGGGCGGAGGAAATCATGGTTCTCGACCGTTACTATGAGCAGCCCCGGTGGAGGCGGTTTCTTACGTACGTCCAGCTGTGGTAGTGCTGGCTGTGCTATTATTATGGGTGCTCTTTTTCTTAGTCCAAAGCTAGTGAACGTCATCATTTACATGGTGGTATCTAGAATTGTGTTTGAAAATACATGGCTTCAATTGGAAAGTCAAGTTCAACGGCCTGTAACCGCGCAGTTAAGCTTAACCAAAAATCAAAAAATATGAATTAAGCATGTAGGGGACATACATTTTTTGATGAGTATTTTTCTATGCGATTCCTTGCTCTTCATTTCCATATTAATTGCTCTATTTTCTTAAATCCTCTATATGCCCATTAAACAACGCGGGTGATTTATTAAGTCATCATCGTTGAGGAAGTTCAGCTGAAGTTGAAGTAGGTATACCATACGACTACGGATACGGAGCACAGGCTTCCTAAAAGCTCCGGTGAGGCTGAGCTGAAAAGCCTAGTATCTCCCTAGTGGCTAGAGGTGATTAAATCAGGTCTCGCAGTATTTCTCCTGGATTTTTTTACTCGCCAGTATCATTCCCGAATCTCCACCCACCTAATCTCTAGCGTTTAAGGGGCTAGGAACGGGGATTGCCATGCATGAGAAAGCATGATTGTTATGCTTACTGATTGTTATCCATCATGAATCCTGAATTATATCATTGGTGCATCTAGGTTTACCCACTACGACGAGGCCAGGTGTCGTATGGTGCAGGTAGAGTTGAGTGATAATTATACAACAGGATAACATTTGACTATTGTCAGTCCAGAATCTGTGATTGTATCATTACAACTGCACCATAAATATGTATCTAGTTTTCTCATATACTTCTTACAGTATGTGGGCGAGTATCATACTGCGGCGGTAGTAAACCAAATCAAATTTAATGGCATTGACCATCGTGTATAAGATAGGAAAAGATCTCTGCGTACTTGACCGATAGCCTTCTCTAACACCATATCAAAAACATTCCGTGATACTATTGATATGCGCAACCTTCATCCAGAATTAGATCAGAGTATGCATCACACTGAGAAAGACGTAAGTGGCTTACCGAAAAGGATACAATAATATTCGAAGAAAAGAAAATGCATTGCATATAGGAGTCATGCCCCTCAAATGCCAGCAATCATATAATGGCCGAATATTACCTAAGGAAGATACTGTACTTTAGTACACTCATCAAACACTCGTAGAAATGGATGTAGTTCGTAGGTGCAGATCTTTTGGTTACCATATTGAATTGGGGCATGTAGGGGTTTTTCGGGTCGAGCTAGGTGTCCATGGCTGGAAAACGCTATCCGACGAAGAGCTGTACGCACACTAGTAGTAAACTAAGCCTACGATATAGGGAGGATGTAGGGGTACAGACAGATCATTCACAGAGGGAGCTCCCATCTAGGTCATTGCATGATAATGCCTTCGCGTACCACTCGTAGTCAACCGTTCTCACCATAAAATAGGACAAAGGGATATGTTCAATATAAGCGATGCGTTAACCAACTCCATGGCGTCCATCTCTTGACCTCGCTGGTTCCACTATATCAATATCACCGATAAATTGCCATAATTTGGAGACAAAGAAGTTAGCCTAATAATACAAAACCATATATCCCATAACATTTCAATCAATGGGGCGGAGCCGTCAAGTGTACTAGATGATCTAAACATCTACGACGGGCTTGTACAAGGACTTATCTCTACCCACTTTGCTCTGGTAACTTAGATCCATAGCACTAGCGGTTATCGTCGTAGCGTTGGTAGGTGAAGCCCAGATGGGAAAAAGATCGAACACACGAAAGAAAGAATGAATACTGAATTAGTACGTCAACTAGGCGCAAATTTGATCTCTGGCGAGTGCGATAAAAAGTGAATGTCGATACCTGTTCTTCACAGTTACCCTGCCCTGGGCTTGGTATTCAATTTGGTAGTTAATTTGCGGCGTGCCTTAATCCCTATGATGTCCTTAAATACAGTCTATAATTGATCGTTTTGTCATTCTCTTTTGTCCTACCTACAAAACCATCAATCATTCAAAGCTCTATTCAAGGGTTAGAGCCTAACTTTCAAGGTTTAGCTACGCAGACGTCTCGTGGGTGAGGCAGAACTTCGAGTCCTGAAGGCCTAAACGAAACTCCCAAACCCATGTCTAGAAGATTAGAAATGAAACGCTTTAATATCACAACTAAAATAGCCATGACCCTTGTCGGACTTGGGCTTTAAACAGGGTATGAGCACAATCTGTTCATCAGCCCTTCCGTTGATTTTCTGACAATCGATCAAGTGATAGCCAAGATACTCTCTCAATCGGGTAGAAGATGAACTAGAAAGGCGTAGATTCGGTACACATAATAGCTGCCGGTAATTCAAGAATTCTTGGCTGGGTTAAGATTCAATAAGTTCGACCTAAAAATTAGCTTTGGCAAACCTATAGCACTTCTTCAGTACTCTGGGGTTTGGTGCCAAATAATTGATGCATGGTTGCTATGCCCAGTATAGGCCGATATGCGCTACGGGTTCTTGATAGCCTAGGATGAAAAGATTTCGCCAATTTATTTCAAACGGCGACTGGGTCCGGCAGTATAGTATGCCTATCAGCGGCAGTGCAGAGCGCCAACAAAATGTTCATGGAAACTATACAATGACCTTTTACATTGGCTAGTAATACGGTCCTCTACGGTCCGTCTGAGAGGTTACATGAGCGAGACCCGTTCTTGATTCCAGTATCCTCGCACGGGTTCTGTAACTTTCAATCACTCATCGGTAACGATAAAACACTAAACTATGTGCATAGACCATTTAGTAACTAGATCGGATTTATGCGCTCCACCAAGAAACTGAATACCTGAGACATGTCGCGGTCGACATCACCGCTACATAATCGGCGATTTGAAGGGAATGGGCTGCCCCGGAAAAATACAAATAGCAAGGGAAGATATCTGTCAAGGATTCTCAATTATCTGCCGCGTCGAAACTGGGTAGTCTCTGATGCCTTTGACCTCCATGCCATTGATATGAATCTAGCGTCCGCAGCTACACATACAGCGATGCATGGGTCTGAAACTGCGGACATATGGCCAGTCCAAGACGAATTGCAGGAGACGGTCGGGCCTGAACCTGTTGATACGTGGTCAGAGCCAGCTACAGGGAGGTTCCAGGAGACGAAGGGGGTTAAAACTGCGAGCATTGGATGGAGGCTAGGCTTATTGGAAGCCATGGAGTCCATAATTCCCTGGCCAAGTTGATATTATCCCAGCCGCTACTACACAACCTCTACAGTGGTTTCAGAGTCTCCTTATGATTATAAAGAAGGCTAGGGGGTTGTATCCTGGCAATAAAAAGACAAATTGATGCACCTGATTGTGGCAGTTCTCCTGGCACCAAACAATCTATACGACAGCGTAAACTATTCCTAGGAGCAGTGCATGATCAAGGAACATTCCAAAGGCTCCGAAGCTAGTACGGTAATTTCAAGGGCTATACCTATCAGTCCCTAATGTGGAGGCCTTATCCTAAACTCCATCAATACACAGCCTTCACGGTTCTAGATTCAGCCTCTACTACGAACATCAACCCTCATCATACTCATTAGACTGACTAAGAACAATTTATTTGATAATCGGGCTAGTAGAGAGGTTGACGTCACCTCCGGGACGAAAGCTAGGAGCGTGTGCAGATACGTTACGCCTTTATATACACCAGGCTGTAATTGCTGTCTTCTATGCTTTGCTAGAATCTAACCCTTAGCCTCTCTACTATCACTCAGTAATTGCGTTGACTCACGGATTTGCGCCGTGGCAAGACAGATAGAGGATATTTTCTCGGACGCAGAAACAAATAAAGTGTATACAATGTTGACAATATATCTTGATTCGAGGCACGACCGAATGCCAATGCTACTTTGGTCGAGCGGCGTAACGCTTCAATATATGACGGACTCTGTCTACGGGACGATACGTTTTACAAGCTGGACTTATGACAAATGCCGTCGACCAACACATATATCTCTAGCTTTAGAATGACTGAGCCTACGGGTACACGGAGGGTTGGATGGATCCTGAATGGATTTTTTGGGACATAGATGCGTTATCACAAGATATCTTCGTCGCATGGAAGCTCGAAGTTGATTCAAAATGGATGGTATCAATTTCAGAGATGATGATGGAGAATGTTCTGTGGCAGGCAATAATTTACGGTGAACTAGGGCCAGGTCGGTTGTAGAGTTGGGTTTTCAATTCTATGAAACAACGCACATTTCTCCTGCGAGCTCAGCCCATATTTATGCCTAGGACAGATCGCATCGTTCACAGTAGTAATGAATGCGAATAGTCGCATTTTAGCCCGTGAAAGTAGTAGTGGATACTCCACACCAACCAATACCCTGTGGCAAAGCGCGGTGATAGGATTAGCAGGGGTATTGGTATTATTGGAACATGGAACGAATTATATGCAGAGCTACGAGAAATTAAACATAAGTTCAAAGCTACTCTGACGGGGGATCAACAAACAGAAGATCTTTCCTTCAAATAATGGTTTGCGGGTGTTATTTGAGCGGTTGAAGAGATCAGATGCTGTACATTCTTTAATGCTCTTTTGTATATGATCGGCCCGATAATTTCATAATTCCGTTGCCCCTCAAGCTTAATCCTAGTCGCTCTCTAAGCACTAGTGCTTGAACGACTCCTGGGTATGGCTTGATATGATCGCTGTGCGCAACTATACATTCCAGTTCTGGTTTTGCTTAGTGAAGGCGGGAGAAATCTAATCATAGGTAAAGCTGGTCCAACGCTCGCTAAATCTCGATGTCCAGCTTTTTTATCGCTAAGTCGCACCTCATGTATTTGAGTGAAGCCAAAATTGGCTCCGCCAGCGAGTCCGGTGTTCGCTAGGATTCTATAGCACTGCGATCTGACATAAAAACATTCCCACCTACGCCACGGTTGCATCTCCAGGCCCACCCCTTAACCAAGGCAAGACCTTTCCACCCCAGTATTGCCGCATCTTATACTCACCAAGACCCTGAGGCATGGACTCGATGGCGTCGGCAAGAGCATTTCCTTCTCCCTTTGCACGCACCTCGTCTAGTCTTGTCATGTAGCTGCGGACAGTGAAAATGATTGCTCGGGATTTAGGCAGAGCGGTTAAAGTCTGGTGCTCGACACGAAGGTAACATTCCGTAAGAGGGGGATTGTACTTTTCATCAGTGACGAGTTGGTCTGTTTCTGGGTAAAAGTTGTTGCCGTCGGTACGGAAGAGGTCTGCGCCGTCGACCTGGAGAGACCACTGGGTGAACAGTTAATGAGATATACATTGTTAACACTTCAGAAAAGTTTTTCCACTTACGTTCATACGTCCGATGAACTGACCCGGTTCCATACGAGAAAAGTATCGGTCCACACTGGCACCCAACTTCTTATCATATCCCGGAACAGGCTGGTGAATCTCCCTCACGGACTCGCCGACTCTGGCAGGGCTCAAAAAACCACCGGGGAAACAGGCAATGTATCCACGGAGACGGAACTGTCCATCCGGGTCAGGGCACATGAAGTAGAAATCCTCCTCGACATTGGCAGAAAGGTAGCGGAGCATATCAGCGGGAGTGAGACCGGCCGTGGTGAATGGGTAACTAGAGCCAGTTGCAAGGTTGTCGACAAGATTGCCGCGAATCTTGAACATGGTTGGGAAGCGTTGCGGGAGGTACTTGATCATGATCTCCTCATACAGCTCTTCGATGGCGGGGTCCACGATCTTTCCTGTTCCGATGGTGAGTTCTGGCTTGCTCTCAACGAGACCGCGTCTCTCTTCGAGTCGCTTCAGATAGCCAGAGTCAATTCGAATCCAGTTGGAGCGGGTTTGTTTTTGAATCCCTAGTTTCGTTAGCATTGGCTGGATGTGTATGGTGTGGAGACATACCCATGGTAACATGGCCTTGTGTTCGGTATGGCTTGTACTCGATTGGAGGGGTTGTATTGAAGTCAAAGTCTTTCAGAGGTTCAACAGCATAAAAGGAATCCAGCGTCGAGCCAAAGACAGACGAGACAGCACCATTATCCTATTCCAGTCTGTTAGAACAAGCACAGTCATCCCATGGTTGACAACATACAGCAGACTTGCCATTTAGCCGTTTTAGAAGAGCCTTGACGGCCACCAGGCTCAGAATGAGTAACAGGAAAGATGAGACAATAGGATCCATGGCGAAGAACGAAAGAGAATGAATGATCTGATGTTGGAATAACAGATAGACAGCTGAACCTCGCCATTTATACCTCCATCTCCGTGTCTGTCTTCAACGCGTACAGCCTATATCACTAAACTCCACATTGTACTCCTACCTGAGCGGCCCCATCTACAGGTTTACATGAAACATTTGAATGATGATGATGGCGCTGTCCGACATCGGTAGGAAGCAAAGGTTACCTACCAGCAACGACAGAGGGTATGCTAATAGGTCTGACATCTCGTTATGATGGTATACAATGGTACAGCAATGGCTGATTGCTTCGCCTCCAAATGGGTAGATCTAGACTCGGGCTTACGCGGGGGGTAGACGATCACTGTTACTAAGAAGTGATTACTCCATCGCTGGTTGGATAAGATGGCTCGGGTGAGTGATCCTTAGGAACTGTGGATTCTGTGATTGACAGTAGTGGTGGTCAGCAAGCCGAATAATCAAGCAATATACAGACAGATGCTTTCAAACAATCAGGCATTATTAGGAGCGAGGATCTAGACAGGCTAAGTAGATACTACAGCTCATATCTAGAAGTACAGTAGATATCTTTACGAGACGAAAATGTACCTCGTATATAGTATCATTGATATACATGCCTCGCAGTAAAGCAAATATAAAAGTACATATGCATTTCTTCAGACAGACCCCCGCAATCGGCAGCGCCTGCAGAAACAGAACGCCACGTCAGCATCAGGGTCTCCAGCCGCCATAGCAGCGCGTATATAATAGATTCAAGGATAGCAATCCCGCAGGGTCTATCCGGTATTCAACTTTGCAAGCAGTAGGAATGTCTCAGTGCGGCTAACCGATACGGCCTATCAGCGATGCAGCCGATGATCGGTAGTCGGTCGACCGTCGGCAATAGGGATTGATATCCCTGCCTAGGTGGATACCGGTCACCGAGCTATAATAGGCGGCTCTATAACTTCAAGTTAGCTCTCTGAATATGGTGGATCTAGGATGAAAAGAACCAGACTCAGCGCCTGTTTATTCTACTGCTAGCTGCTGCTTTCCTAGCGTTATTATCTTGGTGTATTTACTTAGTTGCTTATCCCTTCCACATGGAGCAGATATTCTGTACGTGGAATTTCCATGGGAACCCTAAATACTCAGCTTTCCCTATTATAGATCCTTGCATGTACGTTTGAAATGGTGAGGCTTATCGGATATACAGCGTTATCATCAATTAATAATTTTCTAAAATTTAGACTTATTAACATTTGGTTTTGAAAAATATACTATAAATCCTCGTGTTAACGACGTAGGAGTAAAATGGGCCCGTGAGCCGCGATCGACAATGCCAAACACGATGGATCGACGGAATTTGGCCAATCGGGTGAGTTATATTTCTCCTCACGCATTTGCTTGTTTATAACGGTCAGCACTAGTCTAGTTTAGCCTGAGCGTCGAAGGCCAACCTCATACCAATGTAACCCTGTAGGGGCGAAAAACCGATGCGTCCGAGATCGGGTCCCGGAGTTGATAAATGCATACGTAGCAGGGTAGGTCCACTCGGTTGCTTGTGCATGATCAGGTAGGACCGAGGTCGGGGCTGTACAGTGAATCGAGATGTTGATGTATGTCGAGGAATGAGAAGTTGTTGGAGTGTTGGCTGGGATTTTACCATTTATGTTGGTTGCTGAATAGTGTTAGAGTCGTTTTTGTATATTCTCTTTATTGCATCCTTCCTTACTCGCGGAGACACAATTGAACGCTACAGACATCGTCAACATGGTCAACGATTCCAAATCGAATAAGGTAGATACCCAAACATCTATCCATAAGCGATATTCAATCTAATGTATCTAGGACTCTTCCGCCCCCTTTTCCAGCTACCAACATGAGGTCTACATAGCCGGCACGAAAGGCATCAAACCCATCATGACAACTAACCCCAACCTCTGGGAAGCCGCGGCAAAGCAAGTAATGGAGCCCATGAACTTCGACTACGCCAAGGGAGGAGCTGGGGCTGGCGAGACGATCAGGAAAAACCGCGAAGCGTTTGATAAATGGAGCATCATTCCCCGGATGGTGAGGTCGAATACCAAGCGGTCTCTTAAAGTGAATGTCCTTGGTCAGGAGTGGCCGGCTCCTGTGGCTATTGCGCCTGTTGGTGTGAATAGGATCTTTCATCCGTTAGTGGTCCACTTCATGAATATTTTATATATTCTTGCGTTCTAACGTCGACAGTGATGGAGAAAAAGGAGTCGCCCACGCAGCCGGCAAAGTAGGAATCCCATACGTGCTCTCCACCTTTGCGTCCGAAAGTCCTGAAGTCGTCGCCCAAGCCCAGGATAAAGCGGCAGGTCATGATAAAAGTATTCGTTGGCTCCAGCTCTACTGGCCCCAATCCGTCGACCACGACGTGACACGGTCTATCCTGCGTCGCGCCAAAGCAGAGCGCTACACAGCCCTCGTCATCACACTGGATATCTTCTCCATGAGCTGGCGTCCCATGGACCTCGATAATGCCTACCTCCCCCTCTACAAAGGTTACAGTACCGCTCTCGGCTTCACGGATCCGGTCTTCCGACGTAAATTCGTAGAAAGGTACGGCCACGAGGCAGACGAGGATATCCTCAAGGGCGCATTCGAGTGGGAGAATACTATATTCCCCAATCTCGCACATACATGGTCAGAGCTCGAGTTCCTACGTAAGGAGTGGGATGGCCACATCCTTGTCAAGGGCATACAGACTGCAACTGATGCTGAAATGGCTGTGCAAGCTGGTGTGGACGGTATTATTGTCTCTAACCACGGCGGGAGACAGTATGATGGCGCGTATGGTTCTCTGGACGCGTTGCAAGAGATTGCAGAGGCGGTGGGAGATCGCGTTGATGTTCTGTTCGATAGTGGAATTCGTACTGGTGCAGACGTGATGAAGGCTCTTGCGCTCGGTGCAAAAGCTGTGTTTGTTGGTCGACCGGTTATTTATGGATTGGGGGCCAAGGGACAAGAGGGTGCGTTGCATGTGCTTCGTTGTCTTTTGGCGGATTTGGAGATCAACCTTGCTATTACTGGGGTTCATAATGTGGTGGATTTGAAGCCGAGTGACTTGCGAGGACCTCACTTGAAGGCATCTCTGTAGTTAGCAGATAGGTTCTGCTGAGGGTCTAATTGGTATTAAATAGACTGGACACCTTTGTACTGTTCTGATAGTCATTGTAAATGCTGATGAATTGCTATGTTTATCTCTTCCAGATGAATCTTGATACTATGATAAGTGTCTATGTCATGGCATCTACTGTAGCTGACAGATATACTATTCCATCATGAAATGTTGGGGGATAAAAACCATTGACATTCTTGATTTTGCTATATAACTCCCTGAATATAATCTAGACCCCATAACCAATCTCCATCAGTCAGACCTTCCACAAGAATTATCATCTCCCCTTAGCAGCCTGACTAAAGACACTATTCCGCCTAAGATGATCCCCAAAACGAATAAATGCAAAGGGGATCAAAATCATCACCAAACTCGCAAACCCCAACAAACTAGTCGCCCAATGCGTCCCCAGCCTCGCGAACATTGGGGACGTGGCAAGCGGCAGCAAGGCACCGGATACACTTCTCGTACAGCTTGCAGCGCCCAACGCACTCGCCGCATAGGTGCCATACGCGTCAGCGAGATAGTTGATCAGCGCCATGAATATGAGCAGGAAGCCGATGCCGAAGGGGATACCGGAGAGCATGGGAACGATCCAGTGGATGGATGGCTGGGCGGACCAGGCGAGCCAGAAGAGGGAGATGGTGTATAGGGGTCCGCCGAGGCAGGCCAAGGGGAGACGGCGGTATTCTTCGATCTTCACCCAGGGTTTGGCTTGGGATTGGGCGCGTTGGTAGACGGAGTCGTAGACGAGGTAGACGAGGAAGGAGAGGAGAGCGCCGATTCCGACTGTGGTTTTGTTAGTTGTAGATGTTTTGATTTGCAGGGGAGATCATACTGGGAATAAATGCGAGACCGCATTGTCCGCTACTGAAGCCGTATATCCCTGTTGGTGTTAGTATCAAACGTAATTCGGCCAGGACTGCCTTCATACCTTGGAATATGATAGGGTAAGCCTCGAAGAAGAGGTAAAAGATAGAGTATGTTAAGGAAAGATAGATACAAGAGAATAGAACAATTGACTCGGAATAGATCATTCGGATAGGGCGGGTCAACACTCGCGTGACGAGATTTCGTAAACCGGGAGTAGCCAGGCTCGCATCATCCGATGTGATATTATTAATCTTATTATATTTTCGCAGCAATACGGGCCGAAACGTTTCTATTCAGTGTGTTAGCAACGATAAGTAAGTGTAAATGAATCACTTACCTGGGAGAAATATCAGCGCCGGCCATGAAGCACCAGCGATGATCAACGCGATCCAAAACGTCCATCTCCAACTGACATTAGAGATATAACCAGAGATTAGCGGTCCCATGGTAGGGCCGAGTGTTGTAGCCTAGGCAAGTTAGTGTCTCGACTCCTAAAATGGTTGAATAACTGACAGCCATATACCCAGCCATCGATCTGCCCCTTGTCTTAGGATCGGAAAAGATATCCGCATACAACCCTCCAACGACAGCAGTTGGTGAGGAAGCAAAGATACCAGCAAAGAGTCTGAAGATGACAATGGCCACAAAATTGGGCGCAACAGCACAGGCGAGACTGAAGATTGTGTATCCTAGGAATGTCCAGATCATCACCGGACGCCTGCCATATGTCTCCGACAATGGAGCGAAAAGGACAGGCCCGAGAATATATCCGATCAAGTAGGTCGTTATCGGCAGCACGAGCTGTTGCTGGTTTGTTATGTTGAAATCGGCCGCGATGAAATCGATGGCACCGCTGGGAAGGGCGGATCCAAGAGTGCTGTTCAGGACGATCACCAAGCCGGTGACGAAGACGAATAGCTTTTTTTTCTATCAAATCGGCGTGTTAGCTTGTTTAGCTGCAAAGGGGATCATGCTTTACTGTCGTCCAGCTGTATGGATCGGGACAGGGGTCCACGATCATACTGGCAGAATGGTCAGGGATGCCTTTCTGTTCGTTAGAGCTATGTTGAAGCATTTTGGAGCCAGGTATATTGCTTCATATCCATAGCAAATACACATAGATTAGAAATACCAGCAACAATACTCGCCCGCCCGATATCGGTGCCTAAAACGGTAGAATTCATCAAATTCATCAATGCTTGATTGATTGAGACTCGCATTCCGGGTCCACCGATCTGCTGATCCTTTGTTTAGGGTTGCACTGGTCAGCGGCCCGCCACGGAATCTCTCCCAGCGATCCACCCCCAGAATCCCTGTCGACCCTGCCGTCTAAGCCTCCGATGTCGGGGCTGCAAACTTCCTTATCGCGTCTGATATGGCCTTATAACCCCGCTGGAGCCCTAATCCAGGTATGTTCTGTAAGACTGAGAAAAATTAACAGACAACAACATGGCGCAGCAGCAAGAGCAGAAAGACATCTGGTCAGCCGACCTTTACGGCGAAAAGGTGGCCCCATTCGTTGCAACTTCAACTGAAAAGGTTCTCGAATGGCTGGACCCCAGGCCCACTGGTAAGGCTTCAGATGACAATTACTCGGTCAAGCTAACAGGATAGATGAGATCCTCGACATCGGCTGCGGGGAAGGCCCCTTGACAGCCCGTATAGCTCCTCATGTTAAACGGATCGTGGGAGTCGACGGCTCACCCAACATGATCGAGCACTTCAAGAATACCTACCCACACATTGAGTCTCGCGTTGTCGATTGCCGACTGCTGGATAAAGAGTCCGACCTCACAACCGGGGGGTTTGACAAGGTGTTTTCGAACGCTGCCTTGCATTGGATTCTGAGAGACCCTGAAACCAGGTCCAACACAATCAAGGGCTGTTTCGAGGCGCTTAAGCCGGGTGGTCTTCTGGTCAATGAGTCCGGTGCTTTAGGAAATGTGGCCGAGGTGCATTCCGCAATTATCAGCGGTCTAGTCACTCAAGGTATTCCTGTTGAGCAAGCGCGTGAAGCATCGCCTTGGTGGTTCCCGTCGCAACAGGCTATGAAGAACCTTGTTGAAGGAGCGGGTTTTAACTGGATCAAGGGAGAGGTCCAACTCAGACAGACAACATTGACTGAGCATGAAAAGGGTGGTGTTGAAGGATGGTATGTTTGGTACTAATGGATTATCGATTGACTAACTAATGGCATCCAGGATTCGTCTGTTTGGTGAGCCCTTTCTTGAACTCCTTCCGACGGCCGAGGCACGCGACGCAGCTGTCAAACACGCCGTTGATGTTCTCGAGGCTGTTGGAAGACAGCAGCATGATGGTTCTTTTACTGTCAATTACATTCGCCTTCGCTTCGTTGCTCAGAAACCCGAGTAGGTCAAGAGAAGACCAGTTTTCCAATATAACATTTCCTGCTTCACAATCATGATACTTAGCTATATTTACTTATGGTGTAAGACTCGGTTTCTGGTCCGGGACAAAATTATATATATCTAATATTACGCACCTGTACGCGTCTGGCGTCTATTTAAATCCGACAGCTTGGCATGATGCGTGAAAGCATCATCTCATTGATCATAACATAGAATTTGATTATATAGCAGGGTCGAATCATCACCACGTCTCCCTCAGCACTCGGAACCAAATCTTAACCAAGGCTATTACTATACTATTGTTCCACAAGTAGGGATCCTGATTTTAATCGTACCATTTTCCATGCTTGTGCTCAAAGTCCGTTCGCTCCCCACTCACTAAGGGCTAAGTATCTGGCAAGGACGTAGCTCTGATCAGTGTATTTGAAGTATATTCTGCAAATACTAAGGAAAATAAGCCGTTAATCCATATGAGACTTGACAATCGTGAGTTGGCACACTAGCATTTTGTCACGAGAATTACCTCTGAGAGTGAGACAGAGGCCTTAGTCGGGGAAGAAGTACCGAAATCGCTGAGAGCAGACACTCTAGCAAAACTCAGTCCTTGCACCTTAAGAAGCGAAAGCTTCGCCCGGATGCTTTATCTCAACGAGTAGCTTTCCAGTATTCATGCCATGGAACATATCCAGTAGAGCCTGCTCAGCACTCCTCAAGCCGCCTTTGACTATAGTAACCTCGCGCTTAATCGCTCCCTCTGCGAGCAACTGAGCAAGCTTATTCCGTGCATGCTCAAACTTTGGTTGATAGTCAAAGACAACAAATCCTTCCATTCTGAACACAAGATGCGTTAGCGAGGATACAATGCTTTTATACATGCCTATTTACCTGATCCGGTGGGTGATAATGTTTGTGATGTTCTTTGGGCCTTGGGGCTTGGAAGTGTTATACTGGCTGATGCTACCACACATAACAAATCTGGCGAACTTGTTCGCGCGGGCCAAGGCTGCGTCAAGAATATCTCCTCCAACTGGGAATACAGTATCAGTATCAGCATCAGGACCCCCTGGGGCCGGGGTCCCTTGTGGCAAGACCAACTCACCGTTATCCCAAAAGACATCGATATCGTCCGGTGTTGCTTCTGCAAGCTTTCTTTCAAATTCGGAATCCTTATAGTTGAGTGCATCATCAAACCCCAAATCCTTCTTTAGCCAGGTACACTTCTCATCACTCCCTGCAATTCCCACAACTCTCTTAGCACCCATAATCTTCGCGATCTGGCCAGCCACACTCCCCGTAGCACCAGCAGCGCCGCTAATAACAACCGTCTCCCCAGCCTTGGGACGACCAATCTCATGCATCCCCAAATACGCCGTGAGGCCAGTTAGACCCAGTACGCCGAGTAAATCCGTGACCTTGGCATTGGGATGCAGCGGTGCCGCTAGCTTCTCAAAAGAGCCTTCATTTGCTATAGCCACCTCACACCAGCCCGTCATGGCGGTGACTATATCTCCCGGCTGTGCTTGGGTGGACTTGGACGCCAGAACGCGGGCGATGACGAAGCCGGGCATGGTTTCTCCGAGTTTTACAGTGGGGAGGTAGGAGTCTGCTTCATTGAGCCAGCCGCGCATGCCCGGGTCGAGGGATAGGTATAATGCTTCGATGAGTATTTGACCTTCGTTCAGGTCGGCTGCGCTGGGTGCGGGAGTGGTTTCTTGCTTGAATGTGCGGCCAGGCACGATGTCTCCCGAGGGACGTTCGGCGAGATTCAATGACAGTGATTGACGAGCCATGATGAATCAAATAAGATGTTGGAAATGTTGGTACTCTAGTCTGGTTTGCTTGACTTTTCTTTTCCCCAATAACTATCCGGAGACTTTGTAGGATTTATATAGCAAGCTTGCTATGTGAGCTTTTCTTAGTCAATAACTCGTGAGTTTAACCCAGAGGTTCTCGGGAGTCATATCGTTAGGACTGTGTATACCTCGTTAGTAAGTATTAGTAATACAATACGAGTTAAGGCGCCCAGGTTGACGTACTGTAATAGAGTGCCTAAAGATCGTGAGTGGAAATGTCAGAGCCACTGTGGCAAGAGCAGGTCCTCTTATATTTTGTATCCAGTTGGCAAAATTGGTAGCAGGAAACGATATACAAACGCACCTACAGAGATGAACACGATCGTTTCGCACTCTGCCACAGTAAGAGCCCTACCTCTCGATCCTCTGCTAAGTCTCCGCTTATAGGCAACAAGGTTAGAGAGGATCTAGAGATAAGCCACCTGCCACCAACCATATGCATCAGCTTGTTCCATGAAGCAAGGGATTCGCTAGGTCGGCTTGTATACCGTTATTATGTGAATAATACTTTGTATTAGTCACAAGGCTCCCGCTTACTTATACCACCGCTCGAGGAGTAGGGCTACAGTTCTAGGTTCTTAATATATTCTAAATTTATGTATTGAACATAATATGTAACACGCTCAGCCCAAATATTGACTTATTGTATAGTATGTACAATAATATTAGAAAAGAGTACAGGGTACAGAGCAGGTGAGCAGGGCGCGAATACAGTCCTACGCACGTTGGGCGACGGGCGTACGCAGAAACACCAAAAGCGGGTCAATGAGGGGGCGCAGATACTCAGAGCATTAGGTTATAGGGTGTAGAATATAGCGCAGATCAAGAGAATGCGGATGCGATACGAATGTACGAATCCCAAGTAGTAGGGTATTTTTCATAAGGATCAACCATGATATGATATAACACAGGCAAAAGCCGTACCTTTAGCTCTAAACTCTGCTCATTTCACCAAAGAGAAACCTACCCATGATTGCGGGTTCGTTCCACATCTAGCTTAAATGTCACTTCGGTAAGAATCATACTCTCCGGGACATGAATCCTCTCTTGGCTTTGCGTTGGTAATCTCGAGCTTCGGTCTCCATCATATAAAATACTTGCCCCGATGCTATGCGTTGGGCGTCGTGATCGCTTCATGTGAGAATTCTCGTTGGCGTTTCCACTCACTAAGGGCATCGGGCTCTCCCTTGATGAGTAGCCAACAAGGCGGGGGAGGTACCGGGAGGCGATTGCTTTAAATGATGGAATCGAAGAAGCCACAATCGCAACGTTCATCTCAATGGAAGTCCAATAGAAAGTTCCAGCAACGGAAACTATGTCCGGAGGGAACTGCATCAAATTGGTGCTATAGACAAGTCGGACAATTGATGCGACGCAGGCACTGATGTTAAAGTATCAGAAAGAGTAGCTCGGAAAAGGAAGGATTAACACCCACATCAATCCGAGGGAGAGAATAAATATCACATAGGCCTTTTGCTTCAGCGGCATCTGAAGTTTAAGCAAGACGGGAATCGGGAGGGCAAATGTCAATACATCTGTCAAGATATTAAGTGCGCCAGTCGCAAGTGTGAATGCCTTAATACCCTTTGCGCATGAGAGTAAGTAGATAGGATTGTGGCTCCAGTTCGAAGGTGGGCAATGGAATGCTGCGGCGAGCACAAAGGCAATAGTTTGAGCCACCACCAGCCCTATCATGAAGTAGCATGCTCGTGTCAAGGATACATGGCCGAGGCGAATGTAGAACCAGCAGAGAGAGATTTTGGTGAAGCCTTGTGAGGCCGGGTAGATTAGTGAGCTTAGCCACATACCCTAGCAGCGTGTCAGTTGACGGAAATTTAGAGCGAAGGTGAATGAAATCACCTTGAAAAAGGACACAAGCTCTTCTAGGTCGGCCGTGATGAAGTCTCCTTTGAACCCATGGTGCACCGCTGATGCTTGTCAGCTTGTCTCCACGTACATGGCTCGAGCGGTCATACAAATCACAGTGCATACGGTATAGGTCCATGATAAAAGCTGTTTGGTATACCGCTATGTTAACAACAAAAAATGATCAAAACTTGTCTCGAGAACGATCTTACAGCAGCGATAATGATTAAATCTTTTGAATATTTGCTTATCAGTGTGACAGAAGGAGCTTCAGGAAATGGAACACATACAATCGTCTAGGCCGACGTCCTTAATGACATAATATCGAGCAAATAGGCGCAGGCAGAGAGCTATAAACGAAAGAGCGGAGAATAGAATCGTGATGGTGGTTACAAGGATCGCCGGCGATCCCATGCTGTCGTTCTGTAATCCTGAATTACTCAGGCCTCTCTAGTTGTCAGCCAAGAAGAAGGAAATTGTGGTCAAGGCAAATTCGTCGTTCTAGTCTATCTTGTCCCATGAATGGTTTAAGTACAAACAATGCCTCGTCTCAAATTGAGGCAGCATCACGGGAGATAAACAAGCCCTGCTGTCTCCAGAATCACCACCCCTTTTTAATTTCTCTAGCATATGCAACTAGTGTACAGGTAGAAACTTAGATCAAATATGTGGCAAGCAGTTTCGTAATCTGATACGAAGAATGAGCAGCATCTTGTGTTCAGCACATTTGGGGTCCAGGGCCATGTGTGTTAGCACCGTCTACGTCAAAGCATCAGGCTATGGCCATAGGCCAGATACAGACATGACTTTGATTAAGGATTTGACCAAACAAGGATTTATTATCCTATGGTCAAAGTTTGGCGGCTCTAGATTCGTCTTCCATGCAGATGCCCTGTTCCGGTCCATAAACGGTAGGGCAATATGCCGAACTTGCAGGGGCTTACCAATGCCGATGCATTGTTAAAAAGCTAGGGTCAGGCCAGTGGCACAGATAGAGCTACTACCTAAGTGGTTTCAGAACTTAATAACCATAATTCTGCCGAGACGGGCAAGTCACTACGAGATGGTAAATCCACGCTAGTTTCAGAAGGTACTCGTAGTGCATCCATCGGCGAACCTTCGGGCGTCTTGGCGCGGCGATGACCTGAACAGCATAGATAACTGTACCCTCCTACCACGGTTAGCGTCAGGGGTTTCAAGAGAATTGATTCTGATGTCAGGGCTGAATCAGACGTTGCGGATTTTGACAGAAAACAGGACTTTCTGAAACACCTTGCCTTTCTCTCGAGTGCTGTGTACAAAGAGATTCACATGACCCGAGATATACACCTCGTTGATTTGATTTCCTTCTAGTTTCTATCCAAGGAGCAACGTCAGGTCCATGCTCCAGAGAAGCTGGGTGTCACTCTCACCGGCTAGTCTATACACACAGAGATTCCATTTTCACCGATATCAGTATCATGGAGCCCTGTTCAAAATCTTGTTTCAGGCGATCAACCAACCTTCCAGTTTCATTCGACCCTCGTGTAGACGAGAACCAGTGGTGGTAATTAGCTGCAGAATTTAGGAGTATGGCAGATAAATCTCACGATCGTGATCAATCGAGATTAGATTGCGAGATCGAGGTTCCAAATTTCGATGATACTGCGTCATCACGATGTCGAAATGATATTCTACAGAAGATGAACTCGACCAGACGTCACCCATGGCCATTATAACATAAGACCACATGGCAATCATTTATCTGACCAGCGCAATTGTTGTATGACAGCTGATATATAAAAAGGGGACATTCTATCATCCTCCTAACCCTTTGGAGGGTCAACCCAGTGGAGAAAGAACCCAAGAACAAAGACAACTTGAACCATTGCAGAACTCGTTGAAGAGCGATCGCTGAACCGAACAATATGGCGAATAAGTACAAGCCTTCCGGTAAATTTCCCCTCGTATCCATTCCGCATCAGAGCTAATTTGCTTTTCAGAACACGGCGGTCGCCGCGAAGACGGACAGCCTGACAAGCGCACGCAACAAACCGAGTTTGCGTATGACAAAGTTGACCCGACTGAGGCCGGCCAAAAAAGAGGCTCCGTAGGTGGCACGATTTCTCAGGGCAAGGGAAGCGGTAGCAGCGCCCAAGGAGAATTTGCTCACGGGAAGGTTGACCCGCGTGAGGCGGGTAGCAAGGGTGGACATACTCTAGGAGATGATTGAAATCATTCATTGCAATGGTTCGAATAAAATTATAGATTAACTTGTACAATAATCGGAAGGAGACATCGCCTGGGGATATCCATAAGAATAGCAGGTAACCTACGAAGAAAGAGATATTATGATGTGGAGTCCGACTGAGATAATCCTAGTAGTCTACTATACGATATACTCCGTACGTTGTCGTTTATCAATACTCATCAACGCTGATGGGCCGTGGTCTTCTATGACTATTACCATTTTGGGAAATTCCGACGTCCGTCCACATTAGTCAGCAATCTCTGCTTCTTTATCACGTGACATTACGACTTGGGCAAGGAATCGTTACGATACCGTACCAACCCGATGATGATTAATTCCCGTCGTCATTAGATATCAAAAATCCGGAGAAAGTATCCAAAACTTTTGTTGCGCCGCCTCAACTTCAAACACCATACATCATATTCTAGTCGAATCCACCCACACCTTTCCTCTCGCCTGGCCTCCGGACCCAAACCCCCCTTCGCCCCGATTAACAAACTCCCCGCCCACTTGATGTACTCCCGCACCTCCACCATCTTGAGCAGAAGCTGCCGGTACTTCTTCCGCGCCCCCGTTCCCCAGCGACAGACCTTTTCGATCTCCGCGCGCTCCTTCGCCGCCGTAAACGCAGCTATGGCCGACGCTACCGCGGGTGTGACCGCCGACGGACTGAAGAGCAAGTTGATCGATCAGTTGCAGGCACAACATGTTGAGATTGAGGACCTTTCGGGTATGAATATGAATCTTAGCCTCCGGTTGCACTTTGGACAGATACATTATCCATGTTATACGATTTGGGAAAACAGATATACTAACATATTTTTCCCTTTCGATAGGCGGCTGTGGCCAGGCATTCCAGGCGGTGATTGTATCCCCGCAATTCGAGAAGAAGACCATGCTCGCTCGTCACCGTTTGGTGAACTCGGTTCTCAAGGCGGAGATCGCGGCTATTCATGCTTGGACGCCTAAGTGTTATACCCCTGAGCAGTGGCAGGCCTTGCAGCAGTAGACCTATGATGGATTTCCTGTTTATATTACGGCCCGGGGAAAAGAGAGAGAGAAGATCTTGATATATCCTGGGCATTTCGACGCGCTGGAAGCATATAAGGCAGGCGTTGGAGTTTTATTAATGTACATTTGTCGTTGCTATCCAGTTGTGGGACTATAGTATACTTGTCTTGGGCTATGGTTGGTGGAAATCAAAGATATGACTATGAATGTATTATGTGGTAGATGGAGGCATTTCGTTTTATATTTGCATAGTACATTAGATACTGGTCCTATGGATAACTGTTGCTGTCTAAGCAAGGACCTTCTCGGCGGCGGAGACTAGGGAGAAATTAGTGTCTTGTAAAAACTGGCAAGGGGGTAGAAGCGTACTGTCGAGTCCAGTGTTGTCGGGCTCCACGAAAGCCTCCTTGACCTTGCCGTTCTCGACCAGCAGGGCGTAGCGCTTGCTACGGTGGTTTCCGAAGATGGAGGAGCTATCGAAGGTGACATCGAGCGCCTCGGAGAACTTGCCGGTAGGGTCGCCCAGGAAGCGGATCTTGCAGTTTTCATTAGCATGCGATTGGATGAGCCAATTGGTCATATAAAGTGAATACTTACACCGCTCTTGCCGGAGGGGTCGAGAGAGGCGGCCCACGCCTTCATGCTGTTCGTATGATTAGCCGATTGAGCTGCACGCGGAAGACATGTCAATCCGTTATCCACTTACACGAAAGGATCATTGACCGACACAACAAAGACCTGGCCAGCTTCCTTGAGCTTGGGGTGGTTGATATATCCGGGGACGTGGGAGCTGGAGCAAGCAGGGCCTGTCACGAATTATGTGAGAATTGCACTTCAGCACAAAGACGAAGTGTGGTGCATACTGAAGGCTGCGGGAACACCGACAACGACGCCCTTTCCCTTGAGTTCATTGGCGAGGTTGACCTTGTTACCGGGAGAGTCCTCAACCAGGACATCAAGATTGGGGATGGAGTCCCCCTTTTGGACGAAAGCTGGAGCAGTGTTGTGGAACAGGGCCCGCTGGGAGAAGGCGCGGGGAACGCCAGCGGTGAGACGGCGAGCGGCGAACATGATGGCAGGGATTGAAAGGTGGAATTGAATGTTTAGCTTCAGCTGTGAAAGCACAATTGTGTTGAAACTAGACGTCTTCAACCGGAGTAGTTGTTGTTTTGGTTGCTGCTGCAGGTTGGACGAGGTCCAACATTGCCCGTCATCGGTAAGGTACCCGTGCATTCTGATTGGTCAGTGACGGATGTTATTTGTATTACTCAGCATTGCGTCATAGCACATTTCCAAGCAGCTTTGCCGAGATACCTGAGGCAGCACATCGATGGATGTTAAGGCTCATAATTTCAATCCGTGTTGAATGAGATCCGCAGAGAAAGTTGAGTACATTTGTCGTCGTCTTCAGAGAGGATTAAGAGATACTATGTTATGTGGAATCAGGTCCAGTATGTGCGTGACATAGTAAATATTCTATGGATTACTTTGTTTCTCATTTGTCATCGCAACAATAAGTTGAGCTCGAATGGAGGAAACTTTCATTGTTCATGTAAGGTTATGAACCACCAGTGCTGGCTTTTATGTCCTGTTCAGGGTCATGTTGGTATCAGGGGTTCAAGGCACGACCTTAGCGCCATATGAAGAGGCTCAAGGAAGGTGCTGTGAAAAATGCTAGCACTTCCCCACTTATAGCATGCATACTATTAATGTGGATATGGAGTGAGATATGGATAGATGGTTCGATGCTCCGTACTTTTGTTTGATTAAAAAACAGTATCCTTGTCGGATTCTTGGCAATTGTGATGCTTCTAAGGTACCACGGAGGGCCTAGTCTTAATAACGCTAAATCAATGCGCCCAGGGTAAATAGTAGCCTCACTTCCAATTTCTTCAGTGCTGGATAGGGAGGCTGATCAACCTGGTTCGGCAGTTGAGAGCTTCATGGTCAAGAATCGGACCTCATCCGGGAGATTGCAAGCCGCCCCCTAAACCATGCAGGCGGCGATAATTTATTTAGTTCCCTCAACGCTACCGGGGGCTCTCAAGACAGTTATCTTGTACTTATACAATGCCAAGATGGCTAAGTGCATGTCAGCCTATGAGCACAGCCAAGTTTTCGGCGCTTTAAGCTTGTCTCAGACTTTTATCCGAATGGGAGATTAGCTGACCCACAGCTATTGAACCATGGAGGGAAAAAAAACAAGAAAAAAAGAAATCTCTGTTCGACTGCCGACTTAGCTTCATTTTCCTAGTCTGGAAAGTGTTCCTGAATCCCGAGTCCTCAAAAGTAGAAAAGGAGACAAGGCTGAAACTGTCACTCCAGTTGTGATTCTTTGATCGTGGGTTGTCTCCAGAAGATAGGGCAAATCACCCAATCGGGATGCCTATGTTCACATCCACCGATCCACTTACTTACACTCCGGATCACTCGGTTAATACAACCAAAATAATTAGTCAGGGGAAGGTTACAATTGGACCACTGGCTCGAAATGAGACCCTGTTCCAACTAGCACGGACTAATCCCTGCTATAATGTCTCGCTTGCTAAGACTTTGGCGCCGGTGATCCGGCTTCTGCCTGACTGGTTCGCTGCCTTGCCATGCATTGCTTAGCCTTGGACCAGTGGTGTTCTATATCGCAGGCGACTGGCTGTCCTACTCCAACAGTCAATATTGCATATACGCTATTCACCCTAGGTGGGAGCTATGGAAATTTGCATCTCGCCCAAATACTACCTCTCCGGGTTTCCGCCCCATCCGGTGTCATAAGTGGAATACTAAGTGGAATAAGTGGCGGCAACAATTTCAACTTATAAGCCTTGTCCACCACCCCGCCCTTCTCCTCACCCATCGGAGAAGTTGCGTTCGAAGGAAGCCCAGAGAAAGTGTGAGCTTTATTGATTTCATGATGTTGGGCCCGTCGTTCCTACCAGTTGCTTTAACTGCCTTGTCGTGTGTGGATGCCCTCTCGCTACACAGGCGCGATACTCCGGCCACCGTCGAGCTGCCTATTGAGCGTAGGCAGCATGCCGGGGGACTGAAGAAAAGAGATTCGACGCTGGACTTGCCACTTATCAACTACGTATGTTCCCGATCCAGGTCCATGTTTCCTACCACCGATGAAATATGACTAATACAGTTTGATAGTATGACAGTTTTTATATCCTAAACCTGACACTAGGAACGCCAGCGCAGCAATTCGCGGTCGCTTTGGATACTGGCAGCAGTGACCTCTGGGTAAATGTCGCCAGCTCCTCCTATTGTTCATCCCAGACGGACCCGTGCAAACCATTTGGCCTGTACGACCCCGACGCATCCTCAACATACAAGAGCCTGGATGTTGATTTCAATGCCACCTACGGCGATGGCACAAACGCCTACGGTTACTATGCCACTGATAAACTCGGTCTGGGTGATGTGCACGTTGATGATATGCAATTTGGTGTTGCCGAATCTACTACGATCACACGTAGGTTCTCCGTTCGTATTTGTTATATCCCTCGCTAACCGTGTTTTCACTCATCAGAGGGTATCGTCGGTGTATCTTATGACACTCTCACCGACGAAGCTACATCTGAAGGCAAAACATACGCCAATCTCCCCCAAGCCCTGGTCAATAGTGGGGCCATTAAATCGCCCGCCTACAGTCTGTGGCTGAATGATCCCCAAGCGAGTCGTGGGTCTATCCTCTTCGGCGGCGTTAACAAGGCCAAGTACAAAGGCGAACTCCAGACTATCCCCATCGTGCGCACTATTGGAGGGTATTCCTATCTAGCCGTTACCTTGACCGGCTTTTCCGTGAAACACGGCAAGGAGTCCGAGGACTACTCCACTCAGCTGCCTATAGTGGTGCTGCTTGATTCGGGCACCACCTTGACATATCTGCCCGACTCGCTCGTCGATGAGCTCTACAAAAAATTCGACGCGACCTTCCTTGAGAACGATGGGCTGGCATATGTTGACTGCGACCTCATGGAGAAGGATTATACCGTGAATTTCGACTTCTCCGGCGTCACCATCTCCGTCGGAATTAGTGAACTGGTTCTTAACGCGATTGCCGAGGACTTCCCTGAGGGAACCTGCGCCTTCGGTGTTGTACCCGGCGGAGACGGCATGAACGCTATGTATATCTTGGGAGACACCTTCCTCCGCAGCGCATACGTTGTGTACGACCTCGGCAATAACGAGATCTCTCTTGCCAACACGAACTTCTCTCCCGGTAACGATGACATTTTGGAGATCGGCACCGGCACCAGCGCCGTGCCCGGCGCCACCCCGGTGGAGTCTCCTGTCACCTCGGCCACCGTTGCATCCGCCACTGATATTCTCCATACCGTCACGGTGGGTGGTACGAAAGCCACTGCTACTAGCTCGAATCCTGGTGCCGCTGAGACCTCATCCTCGAGCGGCATGGCAGCCTTGCCGACCGGTAACACGAGACATCTTCTCTCTGGCCTCGCGGGCGCTGGTCTTCTTCTTGCTTTGTAATGATTTTTTTCGGCTGGCGGATGCATACCGGATTGTTACCGACCTTACAGATTGCATGATTTATAGCGGTTGAAGTTGGAGATATCGCATTATATAATGTTAAGCTGAACATTTCTGTACATATACCATGTCTATAAGTAAAACGATGACATAGATTAACAAGTTTATTGGTCACATTTCGTTCATGCCGAAATATTCTGTAAACCCCACATGAGCCCTATAAACACTCACTCAAGGCGTCTTATCCTATCTCCACCACGAAAAGCACCCCAAACGATTTTGAATGATTGATTGATGGATTAATTAATTAATTATACCCCACACGACAAAATGTAGCCTCAGAATCACATCCCGACTTCAATTAATTCATAGACACTCAATAACCCTTCGCCATCATATCTGTTGATCCCAACTCACACGCACAACAACAGGAACAAAATAAATAAATAACAAAGAAAGAAAAGGAAAACAATAGACTCACCTCGTAAAATCGCCCTAGCTTACCACCCCAGCTTCAAACCCCTCACCAGAACCATTCCTCCCTGTCCTCGCCCAACAGCAACAGTGCAACACATACATTCAACTCCTTCATCATGTCCGCCCCCACGACCCCAGGACTTCACGCCGTTCACCAACCACCACATCGCCAACCGAAAAGAAACTCTCCTTGACTCGGAAGTAATCCCAAAGAAGATCTGAGAGAATAAAGCACAAGGCCGGGTGATTGTCGTGTAGTATGCTTGAACAAGGAAAGGATTATGGATACGGGGATCACGGGAATATAATTATATTTTTGAGCCCTGAGGTGGATGAGAATAGTTCGAAGGGAAACTAGTCCGGTCGTGGGTTTGAGGGCTAGGGTAATATATTCCGGATAAATCAGTAGTCAGAAAAGATCAGGTAGGATTTTGTCGTTTACAGACTTTGTAAACAACTGTTTGCGTGAAAAGCTGTATAGACAATCCTACGTATATTTGAACATAACAAACCTTATTTCGCAGTATCGAAGCCGTACTTTTCGTTTTGAAGGTCAGTTTACGGAGTAGTGTTACGGTCATTTAGTTTGTCCCAGCAATATGGTAGACATATAATCACCCCACTTCAGTCTATCTTTACTTCTCTTCTCTTTCTCTTTAATCCATAGCACGGTACTTAGTTACTTACATATGCTAACAGCATCTCCACTTAATTATGCCTACATCATGTACCCTCGCATTTAAAATGAGGTGTCAATATCAACGTTGACGGGTCGAATACCACTGGAAGAACCACGATTGTGAGTCACACTCCACGAAGAAATTGATCACCCCATGCAGATACCGCAGAGTGTATTGGCTAGATTATGAAACAGGTCAGAGGTGAAATGGATATTAAGGATGATTGCAAGGTAACATAAGATCACAAAGTATTGGATAGTGACAACCACGGATCCATGGATGCCTTCGATCTTTCCACGGAAAGCCATTGAATCTTGCCCCAGGTCCCATTCAAGGATGTTTCTAATTGTATAGAGTATAATAGCGGTCAAGCTGCTGATGAGTCACGCCTTATGGTACCCTAGGATAGGGTTGAGTGTGATCTGG